AAAATTTTTTTCAAATTGAGTAAATTTTACTCTGGAAATTTTACTGTGTATAGACGGACTGCTTTGTGTGGAGAGTAATGTTTGGTGCAGAAAGGTTTATATTGTGGGGTGTCTTAGGCTCCCATTGCTTTGGCCTCGCAAGACATGTTGGATACTCGTATCCTACCAACTTACAGTTTGGACATTACCCTAAGCAAGTAGAATAGAAACGTGGATGAGGAAGTTTAGTTTATAGGAGCTTCACTGGCCTGATTGATCCTCTCAGAGATGAAGTAGAGCAGAGACATTCTTGTCCAACATCAGTGTCTGACCTCCAAAATGTGTTTCAGAAACAATAGCAAAAACAAATCCTCTAAACACAAACCTACCTAAACCTTGTTGAAAGGAGGAAGAAGTGCACAGGTCACTCGAGGTCACATTTGTGTCAAGGTAGGCAGGCAGATATAGTTGACATGCAGACATTACGGTTGTTTTACACCAACAAGGGCCATCGTTTTGAGAACTTGTTCATCTGCTTTCTATTTTTGTTCTTTTAGCTTGAAGCTTCTGCTTTTATGCTCCATCTATTTCTCTGTTTTTGCATCTAAATGCAACATATGCTACACAAGGTCTAGGCACAGAAAAAAGTTACAAAGCAGACAAAGTTCAAGACAAAAATCTGAAAGGCAAAAACCTGGAGAGCGCTACTTCCAACACGAGAAAGAAACGAGGTGAGGCTTAAAACCTGTGCACGGTAGTAGACGGATGCACAGCTCAGGATGTGGGTACACAAGTATGGAAATACCACGAGTCAAAAAAAAAAAAAGTGGCAAAACCAGAAAAAACTAAATCATACTATACGGTTTGAAGTTTTCACTACTTCCTTTTAATAAAATAAAATACATTCCTTGTCTTCTCCGGTCTGAACATTCTGAAGACGTCTGAAAACGAACTTCTCTAGTTACAGTAAATGAAACATTCACTCGCATTTTAAAAGAAGAGCTTAATTCTCTTCATCAGTGCAGCTAGGCCCGACACAAAGACTCTGCGTAGAAACAAGAAGAAAAAAAAAAAGAAAAAAAAAGATGCTGGTCATCACGAAGGCGTGCAAACGACCCAGTTTCATTTTGGCAATGCAAACCAGAATGAGACGGATGAGAGCAGAGATAAAGCAGATAAAGCAAACTGCGGCCAACGCCGCGTCTGATCGCCGCTTCACCGTGGCTTCTGTCGCAACTCGCCGTCACGCCCACATGTGGCGCTTTCTCAACCAGCCTGATGATGAAAACATCAACTGCTCTGCTTGTCGTCGTTAAGTGTGACGAGCTGCATTCTGCACGTCTCTCTCTCTCTCTCTCTTTTATAAAGGCTCTGACTAATCTGAGCATTGTTGTCGCTGCTGTCTGGCAACTAAGATAAGAGCAATTGCGTTAAACTGCGACGGAAGAAATAATCTGTATGTATTGAATGAACGTAGAGGAGAGGTCCATGTGAGTAGCTCTTAGGGGGTTAATTCAGCTGTGATGAATGAGGAAAAAGAGAATATTTGTGTCGCATCAGTAGAACAACTGCGAAGGACAAAGATAGAAACCCGCCGCTCACGATTAAATGAGCAGATGTACGCAGAAAAAAAGGTAACGTGGCTCGGAGTAATTAAAGGTCAAAGAAGTTTTACATCCACGCAGAAATGTGTGAGAACACGATCGCATTGACGCATGCGGTGGGAAGCAGCGAAACGACACGTTTTCTAAAGTGCTTTGTAATGAAAACGAACAAAAGGGAGAGGAGGCGCTAAAAGCTCTGGAAGCAGCTGAAACGTAGCACCTTTTTTCTTTCTTTCTTTTATCTTTCTTTTTTTTTAACTTAATGGGAAACGGAAAATCATCCGGCGAGCGGCGTCAAAGCAGCTTTTGAATATTCATAGCCGTAGCTGCTGCTGCTGCAAGACTTCTGCGTGACGACGTGCTTTTGAACGCGGGAAGTGCCGCGTCATCGGGAGACGGCAGCTTCGCCTTCACCGCGATCCCACTCAGACCAGAAACAGCCGGAGGTGATTCTCACAGTGCTGACTGAGAAAGAGAAACCTCAACTTGAAGTTGCAGCACCTGAGTTACGGTTAGACACCGCAGCTTTTCTGCACATGCAGCTGCCAAGGAAACAGCCATGTCGTGTTGAAAGACATGTTGAGATACCTTCAGTATTAGGAAAACAGAATGTTGCTTTCTGGTAGGTACATCCTTCCTTTACCTCCACATTTTGTTCAGGAGTCAGGCATTAAGGCCTATTTAAATCACTTTACTCATTTAAATACATTAGTCTGTTATTAATGTAGTCAAACCTCACTGCACTCATGTTTGCAATATGTTAGCATGATACCAAGAGCAAAATGCCATAGTATTAGCAATGCAGCACAGACAGCTGTCCCAGGAAGTTAGAAAAGCAGCAGTACCCAGCCTTCATGAGGCATTCCTGTATCTTCCTCCCAGCTCATCTGACATTTTGGTTGATCATTTTCACTGTCAGTGTTTTTAGAACTTGTTTGGGTCATGTGGACGTTTATTTAACGTGGAGTCGTAACAGGTACTGGGACCAGCAGCAGCTTCGTTATGCGCCATATTGACCAGAGCGGCACAAGAAACGTGGGACAAACAGGGAGGCGCCAGATTAAAATAATACAATTGTAAAAACAGATCAATAAACTGGCAGATGAATGAGTGAAAAGGAAATGTATTTAAATATATATGACACTGTGCTTTATGCTACATCCAGACTTAACCCATCAATGTCTGAATTTACGAATAAATAATTAGCGGTATTTTTTTGTTTAGCAACGAATGCCCAGTTGAGACGTGACCTCATCATTCACCCTCACATGCGTAGCATTTTTAACTAAGCTCAATGTGAGCCTTATCTGAACACAAGCCGTTTTAACGCGGCTGTATTTGAGTAGACCGCTGATATAGCGTGGCATCTTTTCCAATCCGTGATTTAGCGGTGAAAAGGAAACAGTCGAAAACTGAAGAGGACGTGGCGTCTGCAAAGTTCACAGTTACTGAGCAGAAGTGGATGAAAACCACATATTTAATCTTTTTTTGGTTTGACTGGAGTTAAAACTGCAGACTGAACCGGGTACGTTATCACTTATAGATGTCATCATAAAACTAAGTCTTTATCATCTGCATAAAAGTGAACCACATTCGTATCTAGACCTATCCCTGCTTTATTTATATTTTTTAAAAAGCATAACTTGGTTTCAGGATTTACTTACGAGGCATGGCTCCACAGCTCTGCACCGCTTCTCTGCTTCTTCTTTGTTGCAGCCTCAGTTGAAGAACTGAACCACAAAAAGAAGATGCATTATTGGGATGCATCATTAAACCAGAGATGCATCATCTATCCCCCCACCTTGGCTCTTAGACATGCAAAAAAGCTCAGAAGTAAAGTCATTGCTCAGTCGAGCAGAGTACGAAATAAAAATATACAAAAAATATCTCTAGCTTTTGAAAGCATCAGGTTTGCTGCAGTCAAAAATTGTGGCCCTCTCTGAGAAGAGCCCCGGCGATTGTGTCACACAATACAACGGGAAGTTGAAGAAGCTCGCACTCGAGCTGCTTCCTGTTTCGAGTTTTAGGTAAAAAAAACACCGGCGCGATAAGCGGTATCACTTGATCTCCACTGACAGCCTGTAGAAAAAGAAAAAAAACACAAACAACCAAAAGAAAAAAAAGACTTAATAAAGAGCATCACACCTGAAAGAGTTTCTGATTTTATATGCAAAACTCTTGAACCTGATTGAGCGTCACGGTTTCTCAGAAGACCACAGAGCTAACTTCCAAGGTGACGTGAAGTTACGAAGGAGCAGGAAGCGCTCGTCTGCCGATCAGCGGTTTGAACTCTGAGGCGAAACAACACGAGGTGCCTGGGAGCATTTTTACTACTGAGGTCTGTCTCACACAGCCTCGCTGTGGTTACGTGTCAGTTCATAACTGTGCGGCTTTTTTTGGCCTAACGGCGCAGTGAGGGGGTCACCTAATCAGCTGTGCCTCGAAGGAGGACCGAGCAGCTTAAAAATGCTAAAAACACACTCATGAGTGCTTTCGGCTCACTTCCCTTTTCACTGAATAAGAAATCAACAGAGCTGTAAAAAAAAAAAAAAAAGTATTTCCCCCCACCCCTTATGGATTTCTTCTCATTATTTTTTGCCTTTTTTTTTGTCACACTTACAGGTTTCAGATCAGCAAACTAAAAATACCATGAGACAACGAGAGCAGAAATGCAGCTTTTCGAATTGATTATTTGGGGGAATAAATTTGGGGACAAAAGCTTTAAAAACACAACTGAGCTTGTGCAAAAAAGAAAAAGAAAGAAAGAAATTCAGTTTGTCCAACGTAAAAACAAAACACTGCATAGTTGCAACACACGTTGTTGTTCCTTAAAGAAACATTTTGTAAAGTCATCCAGCTTTGTAAAGAAATGAAAACAGTAGCAGGACCCTTTAAAGCAGTGGTTCCCAAAGATTTTCTCCTGGATTACAATAAAATCCTCCGTTCCCCAGCCAACATACCTAGTTGGGGCCCCATATGGGGAAAAGAAGGGCAGACAGTATGGGTCCTGCATGGGTTTGTCCGCAGTTTCCATGGTGGCCCTACATGGGTTTGCCCATGTGGGACCCATATTGTCTCCCCTCCTTTCGCCCATAAGGGGCCCACCTAGGTATGCTTTTTTTTAGTTCTATACTAGAAGTTTTCTTTGCTGTCAGTGTTATTTCAACCATATTTCTTTTTTTTTTTTTGTATTTGTAACAATATTCAACTTTGCTATCATCAATACATTAAAAAAAAGCCTCTATGCAAAATGGGTTTAAAACATGAACAGCTCCCTGAGAGTTTTTTTTTTTTTCCCCCCTCGTTCATCGCCCCTCCCCCTCCCCCCCATAGGGTGCACCCCACACTTTGGGAACCACTGCTTTAAAATAAACCACTGTACTGTAAGTCGCAATTTTCATACATGGTTTTGCAAAAGTATAAATTGAAATCTTTTCACCTGTGTCTCACTACTTTTCCATCCTCAACGCTACATTCACTTTTCTCCTATCATTCTGTAAAACAGCACATCTCGTCTCTCTCTCTCTCTAAGGTTGATTGTCAGATTGTCCTGCAGACATGTATTTGTGTCGTTCCGCAGTCGGCCGCAGTTACAATCACAACACAATGTGTGCGCCACATAGTAAGAACCTGCGCTCGTACTATACTAAACACTTGCCGTGTGATTTTCGCTCGGAGACGGCAGGAAAGTGATGCAACGTGCCGAGTCTATTTCGGGAGCGTGTGCTCATCGCTCAAATGTCAGCGTGCGGCACCGCAATGAAGGGGGAGCAGATTCTGAAGTCTCATCGTTTTATTTACCCGAAATTCTTTGTTTTTATTATTATTGTTTTTTTCTGTTAGGGGTCACAGGGAGGCCGCAGAGGGAGCAGCTGCAGACTCATTTTTGTTCTGCTACATTAAGTGGAAAAGAAAATAATGTAGTGTCAAAATTTGTCCAAATAAATGTATATCTGAATAGCGTGACATGTTTTTTTTTTTTTTTTCCAGCAGCCTAAATTTAATCCTGCACAGAAGCTGTAGGAACAGTGTGTTTGGGGTTTCAGACATTGTTTTCTGCATTAGTAGTATTTTGAATGGAGATTTAATTATTTAAGTTTCTATATCATCTGACTAGAACGCCATCTTCATGACGTTTGGCGAACAGAACTCTTCTTTTGTTGTTTCTCCACCTTAAAGGCCAGATTTGTGTCCGATAATTGGCTTGTCAACAAATTTCACCATCTGAGCTCTGAACCTTTGCAGTTCTTCTAAAACGGGCCTCCGAAATTATTTTCCAATTAATGCTCCAATCGCTAAAACATACTTTTTCCCTGAAGGTCAAGAAGTTAAATTTGAGACAAAATTTCAGTCTCTGGACACAGAGTGTGAGCCCCCTCGCTTCTCACTCGCTTGGAGAGCCGACGATTCAGAGTAGCTTTCCGTCAACTACTCAGACCGTTCTGAAAAGTGCGGGCGGTTATGTGATTCTCATATCGATCCACCGGCAGGAGGAGCTTAACCAGAGATCTGATTGTTTAATTTCAGGAAAATCAGCTGGAAATACAAGATGGAAAATAATATAGTTAAAATACATCTCCAGTTTAAAAATGTCCGTGGTCATTTGCCTCCATAGTTCATTAAATGGAAGTATAGCAGGTGAACTGATCCCCTATGCTGCTCTGCTTGCATGTGTTGTTGCAAAATGTTGCAAAATTCTTATAATGCTTGCAGAAAACTAAAATAAATAAATAAATCAGCTTGATAAATGCTGGAACATTTATCTTTGTCTGTCCACGTGTTTTTTCTCCCCCTTCCTGCTGTATTTACAGACACTTTGTCCCCGTGGAGACACAAAGACATTTAGTTATGGCGTTAATATACTGCCGTATATTTAACGCCCAGCTCAGAATTTAAGCAGCAGAGAGATCTCCCTCTGGAGGTTAGCTTTGAACGTCTTTCACTACTGAGACATCTATTAGATATGTATCTGCCGGTGGCTTTCTATAACTCCATTACAAAACAAACATAATCAGTCTTCTGTTTTGTAGATTTGACCAGTGCTTCCTTCCATAAACGTCCCTTTACTTTGAGTTCTTAGTGTATGAAGACAGTTCTCCTCCTCATCCTCCCTCTGCTCAGTTTGCTGCTGGTAACCGCTGCCATCCGAATCCCTCTGGGCAGAGAGATGAACTGAAGGGAAGAGCGTTTCTGGAAACTTCCAGCACACACACAGGAAGATGTGCATAAAAGAGACCTGCAACTATTAGCAAGAGAACCGAGGAGGAATATCACATTGCAGAATATGAAAACTGTGAATATTGTGGAGGGCTTTATGATTCTGTACGACTCTACTAGCGTCATTTACAATCAAGGATGTCTTTCTTTCACTTCTTTTAAGAAAAGAATCTCGCACACTTGAATGTTTTAATATCCTGTCACTTTACCTCCACGATTTATCGGCGCAGGGAACCAATCGACCAAGTCTAGATGGGAATCAGTGGCACGACATGTAAACAATCAAACTGACTGGAGCGAATTGCTAAAAGAAGAAGAGAAAACGGCTTTTTAACTTGTGGAAAACCGCAGCATTAAATCCCTCTGATATACATTGAGATTTGTGTCTGAAACGGGAACAGTTCCCTGGGTTTAAATGCCGGTCGCAGCTCGGGTTGATGAGGTCATGCCCTGAGGTGTGCCTCACTGTGCCGGCTGGCCGAGGCCCAGCTGACACCCAGCCACATGTAAGTCATCCGATCGCCTCAGCTCAGAAAATAAACCTGAACGGCACGTCAGCTATGAAGATACACCTTAGAAATTAGCTGCGTTTTGTGGGTGCAGTGGAAGCTTTAGTCTTCAACACGACTGTCGCAGGTTCGAATCCCGACCTGGCGACCTTTCCCTGATTAACAATTAAAAAACATCTGCTCCCACCTTTTCTGAGGCTCAGGCAGGCGCGACGCTCCAACGCGAATCTCACGGCTCTTTCATCCATGTCGCTGCTGATTGGCTGAGCGCTGAGAGGGGCGGGGTCAATGCAGACACCCTGCAGGTGCTCCAGCATGGCGGCCGCAATTAAGTTAATCACGAGAGACCAGGTAGCCGCTGGAGCTTCAGGTGCCGGGGCTATGCTGCCTCCACAAGCCTTTAGTGCGAAGGATTCCTCTTACAGAGTTACGCTGCGGGCCACCGGGGGGGGAGAAATGAAAGAAAGTCCTGTAGACTGAAAAATTAATAAATAAAAGGAAATGTTTCTGCAAAGCTTCAAGAATCACAGGTGATCAAAAACGATTACCATCCACTTGGTGAGATAAATAAATCAGAGCCTGTAACTTTCAAACCACTGTGGAGCTCAGGAAGCGCTTCGCCTGTTGCACAGGCTGACTGAGACGAATGTATGTATGTGTGTGTGCGTGTGTGAGCCTTCATGTGTGTCGGATGTCGGTGAGAGTGTGATCAAGCAGGCTGCCACAGCTGTTGCTTTACTCAGTCCTTCACCCGGTGACAGACACAAACAGGCGCGCATCCTGGCCGCGCGTTCAAACGGCAAATCCCGCTCACTTAGCGCCTCTGATCTGAGATCAGTGCGCACATCGCTGCTGTCATCTCCATCAAGGGCTAAAGAAATCATTATAAACACACCAACACTACAACTGTGCCGACTTTTCCTTCTCCTGATGTCTTTTTCTGACTGTTTCCTGCTAACAAAGTCGATTTAGACCGTTTGTTTGACTGGGATTAGCACCAATGAATGCAGAACGATGACTAAAACTGCTGCTTAATTGTAAATCCAAATCAATTGCGAGAAAATGAGTCACTCAGAAACGCGGTTATGCTAATAAAAACGATGCAAAACATTCCACATTATCTCTACATCTATTATTTCTTTACGAGAGCGATTAGCTGCATGAATTTCTTACCAGCAACGTAAGGAAACCGTAAGCTTCCCCAATTTAAACTACCCAAAAGTAATAATAAAACAAGGTCTGTCCGCAGCACATCAGCAGTAACTGGAAATGATGACATAAAGAAGAAGTTGAGCGGAAAGCTGACAGCGGGCCTGAGAGACGCAGCGTCCTTCACTTCTTCGTCTACTGTTTGCTAGTTTCCAGCTAATACAATTTATTTTATTTTTTTTTACATTTTGTTGCCATATCAACCCATTCTACATCGTTTTCCCAACTCTATAAAAATCCGAGTCGTTACTTTGGAGAACCATTGTTCTCTTTCAGAGCATGTTTACATTTTTTCATCAAGAAAATGAGATTCTTGCTCGTTTTGCTTTGCTAATGAGCTCAAGCTAGCTAGCGATGGAGAAACATCTCTGAATATCAGTTTTCAAGATTATTAGCTAGATTTAGGTCTGAATTTTTACTACGGTTATTACTATTATTACGGTTTATGTAACACCTACCATATAAACCGTAATATATTGTTTATTATAGGTGCAATATGACTGCTTAAAATGTCCAAATTTGGGAAGAAATTTCTGGAATCCCATTAAGTTATATAATTCTGCAATAGTTTTAAAGAAACTTGTTTAATGCAGCAAACGTAATGTTTCCCAAACTCAACTTTTCAGTAAAAGTTACTTTGCTAAAATGGAATGAATATTTTTTAGTAATTTGATGGACTTTTTGTGGTCTACGTCTGTTATTAACCCGAAGTAAACAGAAAGGAGAACTTTTCGTTTGCTGAAGTCATATCACCATAGCAACCGTTGCTACTGCCACCGCCGTGTTCCACCTTGTCGTTTTTTGTTTTTTTTTTTTTTTTTTTTTACAGGAAATTCCACAATTTACAGCGAAATCTGAATGTTTTTCTCTCTTATTTTGTTATTTGTACAAAAGAAGAAAGACCTTTAAATGATCTGTTTTGATGTTGTGTCCGGTCTGCCGGTGTTTCACGGGTCAGGTCGGTTTGTAATGGGGTCAGCCGCTGTCTCTGTTGCTTTCTGTCCGTCACCTCCTCATGCCGCCGGGTTTGAATCATCCGTTCACCTCCACTGACACTTGCGGTTGTCTCTGTTATTAAAGGCACTTTCGCAGGTGATGTCCCATAATATGACATGGCATTAGGAGGTGAGAGAGGGCCCGCTTCCAAGGTAATAACCTAAGTAGTTTCTTCACGTCTGTCAATCGGGATTAAATCCAGCCAACGGGTTGGTGTTGCGTTCAAGAGAAATCAGCAGGTTTGACTCAAAAACAACAAAGTTGGCGGAGAGTGAGAGGAAAAACGTCTTTTAAGGGACTTTATTATCTAAGTTTTGTGTTAAATATGTTTTCTAAAATAACTCCTCAGTCCTACAGGAGAGAGGAAGAGGAAGCACACACACAAAAAAAGAAACAACACAAAACCTGACCAGGTATTTTAGTCTAGTCTAAATTAGTTTATAGGTAATTTTCTAATAAGACAAAGGAGCTTGGTTTAAGTCAGTAATTCCTTAATATTGATAAAAAGTACTAGTTTCACCTGTAGGTTTTTTCCACTTATAACATTGGAAGTAAAAAAAAAAAACAAAAAAAACAAATATAATATTAAGGAGTTATAGACTCAAAACAAGCTCTTGTATCTCGCTGAAAAGCTACTTGTGAGTTAGGTTTTCAACTAAAAACCAGAACAAAAACACAGAGAAATGTGCAACACAGCGACGTGTTACAAATAACCAGCCAACCTTATCAGGCTTTTCAGGTTTATTTTTATGCCGTATCAGCAAGATTTCCTGGAAGCAGCTGCTCTTAATTCGGACGGTGACCGATCAGCATCAGGGAGGATCAGATTTATGATGGATTCTTAATTTGGACAGATCAAATTGAGCGCAAACGTATGAAGCTTGACCTTCTGGAGGCTGTGATGGTCTAAAACGTCTCTGCTGTTGTTGATGTCGGTCTCTCTAGGCTCTGATCTCGGTTGTAGGTGCTTTTGCTTGTCTTCTTTTTCTCTTGGGAAAATGGTTGTATGAAAATATTTGAATGTTTAAATCCGCCCGGTGTGTTGGATAATTCAAGAAGGGTTCACGTCTCTGCATATTTCGGGGTTTTTTGTGATCTTCTGTGTGAGCTGGGAACGCTTCGGCAGGGGAAGCAGCGGAACGTTCTGGGCTAGATGGAAACGGGGACGCGTTAACCACAGCATCCTGTCGGCGCAGAACGTCATCTAAAATAGAGCCTGACATGAATCCTCTGACCATTCAAACATTTGGTCTCGTTGTGGCTGAGAAATTAGGTCAAACTGATTCAAACTGTTTCCTTTTCGAGGACGTGTTTGAAAGAGGAAATGAGCAAGGAATGAATTCAACAAACGAAGCTACTAGGTTTTGCTCCGTTGTCAATACAACATTCAACAATAAACGACCGCTCAGGATATGTACGGAAACGAGCTTCGGCATATTAATCTAATGTAACTAGAGAGTCTGAAACCAGATTGCTCATTTTAAAGCCACGCATCTCACATTTTGATGTTGTTCTTGTAATTATCTTCTCCGGTTTCGCATCACACATGGGTCATGACTTTGTTTTATCTAATCTCGCAAAAAGTCACGAATCTGAGCTACGCCTCGTCTTCGCTCCACGTTTTAACAGCGAGAGCTTGGCGTCGTTTTTCTACAACACGATAAAGCTGTAAACAAGTGTCAGATTAGCTCAAAGTCGCAGCTGCTCTTCCTCCTCCGCCTGCTGTTATGATCCTCTGATGATTAGTTGTCTTCTTTGCTCCTCGGCAACAACATGTCCGCTGTTCCTTCAGGGAGAGTTGTGAGATCCCAACGGGAAGCTGCTCGATTCAAAAACGTTCAAAGATTGCCACTTTCTCGATTTCTGTTAGCCGTTGTTAAGCACACAATTTAGTTTAGTTTTTTTTTTTTTTTCTAACACTGTCTGTTTGCAGCAGTTAACAATAATAGCATGAGCACAGGAAATTACCACTCCTGTAAATCTTCTAAACAAGCAGAAGAAGGTTTCCTTAAAGGAAAACCGACGTTGCTCATCGCTCTAAAAACACCATCTTCATGGCACAACATGGTGGTGGCAGGACGCTCTTTTTTTAGCAAGTAAAAGGAAGCTGGTCCGATACACCTTAAGGTATCGTGCCCTGTATCCGATACACGATACAGGGCAGTACCAGAGTGAAACTGGTCAGAAGCTACAAAGGACTTGGTAGTTTTTAGTAGGATGACCTGAAAAAACAGCCTGAGGTACATCGAAATTGTCTAGATCAAAGTGGATTTGTGTGCCCAATCAAAGGCAGGCTGCTTAATTTTCCCCCCACTATATTTAAAGATATAAGACAGCATTTTATTACATGATGTAGTTGCTTTTATCTAAAACAGCTTTTGAGTGCTACATCGCTCAACTAACTTTTACAGTGACAGCCACTCTTACTAGGACTACACAACTTTTTAAAACTCTTGTTATGTATTGATGCTGCTTCCTAAGCTCTGCGTACTTCCTGTTTGCACTCAGTGTAGTAAAAACCAAACTAATTATTATTCGTCAAAATATATCAAATCAGCCCAAAGGTTTATGTTGCTTTTCTTCTGCTTATTTTTTATTTATTTATTTATTTGAATAATTCAACTGAGAGGTTAATCCTTACATTGTAAGAGATAAGTCAAAGTCTGAATGTGTAGTTCACAGATATGATTTCGAACACATTATTTCATAAAATCTAAATTGTATCAAGGTTTGAGCTTCAACGAACCAAATAAAACTTCTGCACTTTCTATAGCAGCTTTTAGTTTTGATGTCCGTGATTAGAAGTGACACCCCTGACTAACTTAAACTGTACACTCAACTGACACCACCCTGCCCCCTCTTCCTTCTTCTTCTTCTTCTTCTTCTTCCATTACATATCTCATAACCTCTGTACTCTCTGCCAAAGGTTTAAATAGCAAGACCAGCTGGTCTCTTCGCTTTATCTATTTATCTGCACCCGGTGAGACTTTGGAAGTATCTGGTGTGTAACAGATTATTTTCAAGTGATTTGCTGGTTGTAGTGCGTGTACTGGCCTCAAGGTGGAGACTTGAATCGAAATGCAGCACATAGTCTATGAGTCCAACTGTAAGTGTAGGTATGTAATCATTACTGCAGCCCTCATTCTGAGATTGCGCTGTAAAATGCACAGATCATGAAAAACAACAACAACGGCGCCCCCTACTGTTGAGAGGGAGATAAAGCAGTAATGCAGAAAGAAAAACCAACCCCTGTTCAGCTTGTTTTTACTGACGTATCTTAGCCAAATATTCTTTAATATGCTTCACATGGGGAATTGAATCCTTATCTTCTACTGTAAGGGCACCCGGCACTGTAAGATTTTAATATAGTGTTATTTTCTGGCTTCATGTGGCATATAAAATAACTTGAATTAACATAAAGTAAATAAACAAGGAACTACAGACGGTACTAAATGAAAAAAATAAAAAAAATGATAAGATAAGAACAAATCCATATATCTTTAATAGTTTGTGGTTGGCGTTTAACAGTCCGCCGCTAGATGGCGACAAAAGCTGACGCCACAGGCAGAACACAACTGAGAACGGAACCAACATTTCACTTGCAACAAGGGGGGGACCATAATCATGACGGACTATTATGGCAGCCAAAACAGTTAGCAAAGCAAGTGAATGTAGTGTGTCCTAAACATTAAATAACATTTTTCGTGTTAGAATGTAGATATTTAAAAACGCACTCGTTCGTTTTGGCATCGACACAACACTCGCAGTGAGTTAGCGTTCATTTCATCGCGTTATCTGCTCAGGTAAAGCCTGCTGGAGTTCAAGCTATGTGGGGAGAGATCGACCCTCCCGTTAAAGCCCAACCCAGGCCGTGTGACAGCGAAAAGAGGACGGTGTTACCGGAGGAACCCGCGGCTCCTTTACAGACATGCGACCTCTACATACCCAAACACAGACCAGACACCCAGCCGGTCGCCCAGCTGGACCCCTCGGTGAGGCTCCATGGGTTTTTCCTCAGATGTCTCTTTTTGTTTCTCTGCTAACTGCGTTCCTAACCACAGACAGAGCCCAGCTGCGTTGGAGACATGATAGAGTCGGTAGCCATGAGCGGGAGCCCCGTGAAGAGCCAGCAGATCGGAGAGGCCGAGCTGACCTTCGGGGAGCGGAGGGAGGAGCTGCTGCATCAGTACCGCAGCAGGCCGCTGGTCTTCCTGGAGAGGTACCATGTAAGTGCCAGAGGGACACAGGATTAAACAGCAACGAGGGAACAAGTAGATGTTGCACAGTTTCTTTTTCGTGATCCAGCCTCTCCTGTACTGCAGTTTGGATGTTGTTTTCATGTGTACGAGCCTCCCTCTTGGAATGGTGATCACTATAGTCAAATATCTCAATTTGACCACCAGGAGTGTCTCCATTTTGTTTTGTTTTTTGTTTTTTTGTGTGTTTGTTCCTGAGAGCAATCATAAACTTCAATCTAGATTCTCACAGTGCTCTTGGAGTTGTGGCTTCTTCCTTACTGCGTGGCCTTTCAGAACAAGTCTGTAGTTTGGTGGTTGTTTCACCTGGTGACCAGCATCAATGAGCACCAGGGTTTTGCTTTTGTTTTCAGGTCGACTCACACACTTTGCACCAACACACTTTCATCTCTGGGACACTTAGGACCCACTGTAGAGGCAATATCAAAAAGAGAGAGATGGCATGTCAGAAGGCCCTGAAATATTGAGATAGGGAAACACAAACATAGATAAATATCAAAAGTATAAATGTTGCAATGTACAAATACAATGAACTATAGTAAAAACTGGCAGCTTTTAAACACCAAAGGGTCCCACCAGATCCTCAGGACAAATGAAACAAACTGAAATGTTCAACCTGACCACAAGGAGGCCTGCAGAGGTCATTCTTGTTTCACAGACCAAAACACAGCAAATAAATAACAGTAGTAATTTAAATAAAAGAAAAAAGAGCTCAACTTACTGATGTCACGTCTCTTGTGTGATGCACCTCCTTCCGTCATCAGGGCCACCTGAAGCCTGAGCACCTTCCTGCTTTCGCCCACGTCAGCTCGGACCCGAGGGCCCAGCACTACAGCCGGCTGGTGCTGACGCGACCCGCAGGATGCACCAACAGGACCAGGGTCAGAAACCAGCGTTACGCTGCCCTCAGAGCGCTGCAGAAAGGTACGGCGTGGGTTACCATAGGGACCGCTGCGGAGGAAAAACTGGCATCATCCATCGAGAGCCATGGTGGGATGATTAAAAGTCAATATTTTCCAGGGCTTTAAAGTTGGCAGAATAAAGAAAAAACTACTTTGTTAAATGAGGGAGAAAGAAACAACTGTTTTTCCAAATACTGAGACAAACAAGTTAAAAACAATTCACTAAATATACCTGCTATTTTTATCGCTGATTTTCATCTGCAATCCATGCACAGAATATGAAACGTACGCAAACATCACTTAAAATCTAAGTGAACAAAAAAAAAAAAAAAAAGAAAGTCGAGAGAAAATTACATATAGATGAAATAACCAGTCCATTTGCACAATCTGGAGGTGTATGTGCCTCTATCCATTTGGGAGCCCAAAATGGAGGCATTCAGATTAAACTCCTTATATTTATCATTAGGTTTTTCAATATTTCTACGTATTCTGGGTAAATCATAAAAAATATATAAAATAAATCCTCACTAATTATCGTTTTCACTGCTTAAAGTGTTTCTTTAAAGGATTTAATAATAAACTGGCGTTGTAAATCATGATCATTTGGTCCTCTTCTTATTCTTCTTCTATTCTTCTGGCAGACGGCGAGTATTTCAGTGAGGAACAGATGCGGATGAGGGAGCCGCTGCTGTACGAGCAATATATCGGCCAGTTCCTGACTGATGAAGAGGTGACTCATATATGTTTTTACATCGACAATATTTATGTGTGTGTGTGTGTGTTAATAGCTTCCAGGAAGCCTGAAAAACCTGCTGGCTTTGGTTTCTGTTCCAGGTTTTGGAGCGCTCCCAGGAGGCCATGCTGGACGGCGAGAAGGAGGGACAAGGAGGCGGCTCCTGTGGGCTCGCCAATCTCCTCCTGAACTCCTACCAGGAGCGGCTCATCCAGAACCGCCTGCAGGAGGAGCAGGACAGAGAAGACGGCGCCCAAGAGGAGGACGAAGACGGCGACGGTAAGGAGCTGCTAAAAGAACGGCCAAAAATATGAAAGGTTTTCTTCTTCCTCCCGTCTCAATTTGGCTGCTGAACGTTTGTCACATAGAGGATGGAGTCCAGCAGAAGGGATGGGAGCCCACTGCAGAGGAGAAGGCTCTGCTGAGGGAGGAGTTCATCAGTCAGATGCATCAGCGATTCCTAGACGGAAAAGACAAAGATTTCAACTACAGGTCGGTCACAGTGAGAGCAGTAAACTTCTAGAAACTTCCCCTTAAAGTGGGCGGGGTTTTTTTTTTTTTTTTTTTTTTTTTTTCATTTACAAGCGAGAACAAAATGAAAAATGTATTTTATTTCTACAATTCAGTAATAATAAAGAAGTGAAACCTAAATATGACAACCCTGATTCGGTCCCAAACTTTTTCATGCTGTGACGCCTCAAACAGCTTCTGTTTGGGGAAAATCCAGACGATCCAGCAAAAATATGTAAAGAAACATCCACTTTTGGAAAGTTTTTTCTTCACTTTTACTCACTATTCAATAATCAATACACTCGTTAAGCAGAAGAACAGTTCCTTCAGTTTTCTTCTTGTCAGAAAGCTAGCTTGCTATGCTAGCTTGAGTAGCAAAGCAGTTTGAATTTGACTGGCAGCCAATCAGAAATGAGCATGGTAAATAACATTTACATTTTTGCTTATAGTTCAAAAAACAGATTAAATTATATGATTAAAACATTTCAATGAAGTCAGTCTATTTATTTTTGCATTTTTCCCCCCTCCAGCTCTCTGTGGGCCTCCACAGCTCCCCCTGGTGGCCCACCAGATAAATGCTTTTAAGCCTTTATTTCTGATCAGTTTGGTAGATTTCCACCTGCAGTTAATGAAAACATTTAAAATGAGAAAATTACATCACCAAATAAAGAATTTAAATGAAGAAATGTATGAAAGGTATATTGCTTTTTAAAAGTTGTCAATTTTCAAAAGGTACTTGCAATCTGATAAATGAGCCAATTTGTTGGATTCCAGAAAATCCAGTTGTTTAAAAAAACATTTTGTCTAAATTCAAATTTTCATTGAAATTAAAGTTTTGGTTTTATTTAACTGTGAGCTACAATCATCAAAACTCTCAGAAATAAACACTTCAGTTGCATCACCATGTGTGCAATGAATGTAAACGATCTACGAGTTTCACGTTTTTTTTTTGTTGAATTTGAATATTTTCATCAAAGAACATTTGATGAAATTTGCTTACAGCCGTGAAAATAACTCCTGAAAAGTTCAGTAAAACAATTTCACCCCATGAACATGAAGCACTTCAGAGTGAGACGTGTGTGTTTGTGTGTTTCAGCGAGGTGGACGACAACCCCGACTACGACAACCTGGACATCGTCAGCAGAGACGCCGAGGATAAATACTTTGATGAAGATGAGGAAGAGGAGGAGGAGGAAATGGAAAAAGATGATGATGAAGAGGAAATGGCTGAATAGGAAAGAGTTTGTTAGAAACAACTGATAATCTGTAAATAAGAGTGTACAAATATAAACTGCTGGATGTTGTTGATTTTTTTTTTTTGACTGTATCAACAACCTGCAATAAAACTTATTGGTCTTTTGCTTTTCTGAGTTTTATTTCACTGTGTGAAACTTTCAGCTGCAACACAACGTCTGCAGGCGATGCTTGGTACCGGATTTTCTTTTGGAGCATCAGAGCAAAAGGGGGCAGAGTGAAAAAGATGCAGAAAACAATATTCCAGATTTTTATTCGTAGGAAATGTTGGCGACCATGTTTGATTTCCCTTCCCTTTTGCAGCAACACACAGAAAATAAAATCCCAATATGATCCATTCCAGTTTGTCTTTGTAATGTGATGAAATGTAAATGTAAATTTTACATTGCAGCATTTTTTTTACTGCTTTTCTGTTTCTTATGAGCTTTTTCTTGAATAGACTTCTTTAAAGTTGGAAGCTTTTCTTTTCAAAGCGATCATTTATGAAGGTTGTTGAATTAATTGGGTACTGATATGTACAACAGACTGATTTTTTAAATTTTTTTTTTTTTTTAGAAAAGATGAGGGAATTGTCCTGACTGACATCTGACAAAAATTTTAACATTCTTCAGTTTTTATTTTAACCTTGAAATACAAAGAAACTTCATACAACATTGTCAGAAAACCATCTTGTAACATAATTATGTCAAATGTAACAGGAAGGCAGTGAGAAAAATGTCATGTTATCAATAAAAAAGTGAGATACTTTAGAAAACTTAAAATATAGCCTCTTTTACATTTACATATAAAATTCTATATACATTTACATATAAAAACAAACAACCGTTCAAAATTAACGTCTATCCACATTATTTTATTCCCTGGCATCCCAGTTTAATTCCACAGATGATTGAAATCTTTTCTTGACACTCATGGTAAAATTCTCATCTCTGTTTGTAATTTCTTGTCACAGGAAATGCTTCATCCCTCCCAGAGTTCGTTAAAGTCGCGTCACATCCTACATCGTCGAACTGAAGCGACCAGCTTTCATCTGACCTTGTAAGAGACGTAATTTCAAAGTGTAATATTCCTTCTTCACTCTTGAAGCCTCCTTTTGTTCTCTTGCAGCCTCCAGCTGCGTTTTTAGAGTTTCTCTCTGCAGCTGGTCCAGATCCATCGTGTCCATATCGGACCCGGTCAAGACCCCCGATGTTGAGGTCTCCACCTTGTCCGAGATGCGAGTGCTGTCCGAATCGCAGATGCTTCTGGGAGGGGAAGGAGGGAAAGTCGTGAGGCATTTTGTTCAGATGGCACCGCTGATCAAAGTAAACGAACTCCTTCGATCTACCTCGTCTCCGACATCGTCTCTGATTCGAATTGGTCCAAGCAGATAACGTCCGTGTGATTGTCACATGAGCTCGGACCAGGCATAGTCAAAGTTTCAGCAGAAAGACCTGCAAACTTAAAATATTGTAGGTGCCACAAATCTAAAAGTTTTCCCACTGGCCTTGCATTTGGTTTGTGAACTCACTCAGTAATTCGTGGATCTTCTGCTCGACCGGTTCTTGTTGGGGGGAAGTGTTTGTGGCCACGTCTGCCGTATGACTCTCTGCTGGTTCCTCGCCGTCCTCTATGAGGTTTTCTCTCTCACCGCTTTTTGTCTTTTCATAGTAACTCATCTCTGAATCTCCGCCTCCTTCCTCATTGTCTTTGGGAAAGAAAATTTGGTTTAAATAAAGAAACTTAAGAACCCCAGAGGTAACACATGAGAACGTGTGGCTCTGCAGGTGGGACAATTTATCAGACAGGGTAAAAATGTAGGTTAGCTTCACCAGAACATCTCGTAAAACCATAAAAACCTCAAGATGTTAAAAACGTAAGTGAATACTAAATTAGATCAAATCTCCCATTTTATTGTCTTTTAAAGCAAAGGAATAATTTAAAAAATGATCTTTTCTGGCAAAAACTGTCAGAACCAGTTATATATTATTTTCCACAAATATACACTCTGTGTAAAAGTTAAACAGAACGAACAGAAACATCTGTGGTTGTTTGTGAGCATAAAGTTTCTTAGGTGAGACAGAGCTGCTTTGCTAGTTTTTTAAGTAAGTCAACATGAGAGGAGCTGCTTTGTGGATTGTATAAGGTGTTTGTACTGCATCTTCACCTTCCAACATGTGTAGTAGGGCTGTTGTACATGACTATTTCAGTAATTTATTGATTACTCTGACAATTAATCGAGTAATTGGATAAAAAAAAAAACGTGATGAAATACTGGTAAATGCTACCATAGCAGCAGCATTAATATCAGATATCAACATTGGTCCAAATGTTAATACTTGTGCATCGCTAACAATAACTTTTCTGTAGTTTAGAAAATTAACCACTTGAGCAACTCCTAGCTGTGTTTCCAGCTAAGTGTCGCTCGCTGTTTTCATGCCGTTTTCATACATATTATTAGATCCTGGTTGTAAAATTATACTGTCAACCATATAAATTGTCATTTAAAACAACCTTAAATGAGAAGGTTGTGAAAATATGGATATATTACCACTTACAAACCTCTGAGTTGATGATCCACAGCGGAGGTCTGAGAGCGACTCCTCGTCTGATAAGTGACACAGAGGAGATGAACAGATTTAACAGAAAACCTCCACAGAGTAACATGACAGTCCAACATCAGCTGGCATGTCAGTACTTCATAATATCTAGTTTCACATCAGTATGAACATAACCAACTCTTCCATTCGTGTGAGAATATTTTAGATCATTAAGCTTTGGCTTCTCATGGAGATGAAGAAGGCTCTTTATCCCATTTCTATGTTATTGCCATCGGGCTGCAATGAAAGTCTGACTCAGTAGGCATATCATTACATATATGATACATTAAAGTTTAAATCTTTCAAAGAGGAAGAGATTTATCTCGACAACCAGGAGCTCGGTCACAAACCTGGGCGATGATGTGAAAACCTTTGCATAAATTCATCTTACCATCGACATTCTTTGGAGGAGAACAATCGAGTTCAACTGCAACGCGAGTTTTTCAGGTGTTGAGATGATCAACCTCGGATCAGGTTCTGAAACAGATCCATCCTGGGTCAGGAGTTACGATACGAGCTCTGACTGAAGGAACAGATTTTGTTTGGATGATTTGAAAGAGTATGTTGTTTTAGGGATGCTGATGGAGAAGCAGAGGGAGCTGCAGTGTGTCTTAGATTAAGAGAAAGAGAGGAACCATGTAAGCATGAGGAGGTCTGGAGTGGTAAAGAGTGGTTCGGGAGAGCTGTGAGACGGCAGTGAGGTGTGCTGTAGGAGTGCATCAAGGCTGGGCTCCAAGCCACTTCTTGTTTCCTCCGATGAGGTTAGACAGGATTACAATATTCGCAGATGACATTATGATCTGCAGTGAGAGCAGGACGAAGGTAGAGGAAAAGCTAAAGAGGTGAAGACTTGCTGGAAAATTAACAAAGATCGGTTTAAGCACAAAGCTCAAATGAGAAGAGCACGAGTGGAACGCTACCGGGTGAAGAAGAGAAGAAGGTAGAGGACATTAAGGTTTTAGGCTCCATAGTTTGGTGTAGAGAGAGAAGAAATGGAATAAAACACTGGATGTTGCAGAGCTGAAGATGTTGATGGACAGGGTCAGGAATGAGAACATCAGTTGGTGTTAGATACTTTAGAGTTGGACATTTTTAGAGGAGAGACAATTATTAGGATGTTGATGTTGGAGGCTGAGAGGAAGACCAACATCGACTTGAAATTAGTTGGTGTGAAGGTGAAGGATGCAGAGGACGGGATTAAATGGAGACAGATGATTCGCTGTGGCAATCCTTGAAGGGAAAAGCCAAAACAGAAGAAGACATTACCTTTAGGAGCGTAGAGGCCTTTATTGTTTTCCATTTCATCCGGTTGCTCATCTCGTCTTTCTTCCGGATGGTCTGAGTCGTTTCTCTCTTTCTCTTCCTCGGTCCTCCGTAACTTAGAGCCTGAAGGAATCCCATCGTCGTTCTCAGAGTCGTCTGTAGCTTCTGCTCCTGACTCTCTGGCTCCCTGAGTGTCGCGTCGTCTTAAATTATGAGCTGGTTTCTCTCTGTTGTTCTGAAATGTTTTACCTTTCTTCTGTTGGACAAAAAAAAAATAACGTTATTGAAATAAAAACCCCAGTTTTTGCATCCAAGTGTTGCTCATTACTTTATACGTCTTTGTCCCTCTTTTGAATCCCTCAGTGTGCAGAAGGCCTTTCTGTGATGAGGGAAGATGTTTATTAAATGAAAAGGAAAACGGTATTTTACTGAAATAGGTGCAGAAAAAAAACAGAAATTACTTCAAACCAATGTTGCAGAGGTTTTCCATCAGAGAATATGCTGAGTTTCCATTTTTTATACGAGCCTTTTCCTGCAAAGTTCTCAAAGGCAGGCGGGGTGAACATGCGGCCCTCACACTCTATACACTCCTCACCTGCAGAGCGAAGGCGTACATGCATCATAAATAGACGTGGAAAAACAATCAAAAAGGCATTTAAAGTCAATGATGTCTATAGAGAATGAATTTGCTTTTAAAATTTACATGACAGGATGTTTTTCTCACTCATTTGCTGACATAAGATTGAAAAATCCACTAAAAAAGTCATTTCTCCACTAAACCGCGCCACCTTTAGCTTGTTGTCGAGATCCGATTAATCATTTTACTCAAACTCGATGTTCTTACTTTTCGCCAGCTTTTGGACATCCATCATCCCCTTTTTGTCCCTACAGCTTACAGGCCACAGTTCTCGATCTAGCAGACAGAAAAGCCAGTTTATTTCCCAAATATTCCTGAATATTTACAAATACAAAAGTTTTGCTCTCTCAATAAAATACAGTTTTAAGTGCTTAAAGTCGCGTTTGCTTTCTGGAGCATGGATTCATTTAAAAACCGAATACCTTCGTGTGTTAGTGACTGGTTGCAGTTGTCTTCTTCCTCATTGTAATAATAATAATCTTCATCGTGATAGTTGACACTCTCTCTTTTTCTCAGGTTATATTCTGCGTCTAAACTTTGTTCTTCCTGTCCAGAGTCGGACTGTAGCGAAGATCTTCTCCTCTTCATTTTTTTCTCCTCTTACTCACTGCAGTCTGCCTTGAGAAAGAAACCGTTTAGAAATCGAAGGAAATATAAACATAACCGGTTATTCCATAAAATATATATATATATATATAAAAATGTAATGAATACCCATAGTGAACTTTTGTCTCAGACTTCAAGATTTCAAGTTTCGCTGCTCAGTTTCCCTGTGATGAGTCAGGAGGTTACATTTATTGCAACAATCAAGTTTTTAATAAAGCATATTTTTATATAGTTTCTTCTATATTGGCTTAAGTTTCAAACTTTAAAAAAAATGTAACATCAGACAAAGAAAAAAACCAGAGAAATGTTTTTTCATAAATGGGGCAGAACGACGTCAGATCTAACAGTTTATCAGAGAAACAGCAAAGCAAACAGGTGGACTTTGACTACAGACTTGCCATGTAGACAAGAGGAAAAAGGTGGAGACGTCTCACTTTTTCTTTTTCTTACTTGATCAATCTAATTGAGCAGTAAAACGTTATGTAGGGTCGGTTAAACTGAACATTAGCAAATCGCATACATTCATCATCTTTCTCAAACTTTAAACATTCTTTTTTTTCACACAAGAAAACCCTTCATTCATCATTTTTACAAGATGTACATTTTTAAACAATCTCATAACTGTAACAGTTTCTAAAATAATCCTTTGGATATCATATGTGATGGAAAACGTGCATTATGCTAAAGAAGTTTTTTTTTTTTTATCTCTTTCTTTATAAACTCTCAGTTTTCTCAGTCGGTATCTGACATCTACCACCTCCTGTAAAGTCCTGATGCAGTCCAGGACCGAGGTGTGAAAACATCGTCAAGTTTTCACACTTTGGTGCATTTTAGTGGAGTTGGGTTTCAAACATGGACGCAAAGCAGCACATCTTAGTGAAGGGAAAGTTTTTTTTTGTTTAACTCATTAATGCGATGATGTCTAACAATCAAAGGTGATGTATAACAGTGGACCCAAGAAATACTTTGAACGTTTATCTGCTACTGTTAAAAAATAATCATCATGGTTTCTTGTATGCTGGTTTTCGGTCTGTGAAAACGTCAACAAAACCTCTTGCTGATTTTCTTTTCTTTCTTGCTGTTCATGCATCACATTCAAACCCAAATGAAGTGTTTAAGGCTGAAAACCAAATGTTGATAATCTCGAAACGCTTTTATTCTGTACCATTCTGAACGGTACAGAGAATACGGTCTTTCTGCAGGTCTGTCAAGGAAACCTGCAGCATATTTTATTTACATTTACAGGTAATTGTATTGGTAATAAATAAAACTCTTTTTGGTTTATGTCTCGTAAAATGTATAAAACATTTGTACATTCCAGCATAAAAAAAAAATATGAAGAATAAAACTCAGCACCTTCACCAGGAAATGATTTTGTTGCAGCTTTTTGTCCCGTTCCAGAGGTGTGCTCAGCTCAGCTCTCTCTAAAATGACACATCTGGATCCTGCTGCCACATCTGCTGCCTGTGGGAGGCAGGCGGTTGATAGGTATTTTTCTGAACCTACATAAAAGAACCACAGACAACGTACATTCATTTTATGGTCAAACTTTTGCAAAAGGATAAGACTCAGCAAACTGCTCCTCCGAGCCGTTCACAGAGCGTTCTGCCCTCTCTCTGCTAGAGCGGGCCTTTTATTTGGGAAAACAAAAGTGAGATGGGATAAACAATAAAACAGATGGCAAGCTCCATCTAACACACAGGTCATCAAGCTCTTTCCCTGGAGAGCGATTTCTTCCAAGGGTGGAGTGAACAATCAGTTCTCAGGAACACAGATATTCAAACACAGCAATCAAAAAGTTTTAGCGCAGTACGTCACTACTGATAGACTGCTAAAAATGATAACACAAAAAATCCCCAACAGCGGTCCTCGTTGGGTCTGTGACTGGCTGGAGGCTTATCTGCAAGCAGCCATCAGTGAACCAAATAACTGCTCACTCTGATGGAGGCCATCTTTGTTCTTTTAAAGGTCCAGTCAGGAGGCCTTCTCGCACCAATGCACCGTATGAGAGCTGTAGATGAAACACGGATGAGGGGATAATTTGTACAAATCAAATACAAAGGCAGCTGAATGACACCTCTGCTCGAGTGTCACAGTCTCATCACTAAAATGGGAAAAAGAACAAATTTGGTGTAAGTGCATCATATGTTGGCCTTTTAAAAAAAAAAAAATTCTCATTTAGATTTATTACTTGTAAGGGAGCATGAGCAAAAAAAAAAAAAAGAGAGACAAAAACTTGAGGGATTGTTGCTGCTCATCCTGAAAATAGAGATCTTAGACTTATGTTACATTTCATAATTGTAGCCATGTTTCTCTCCTAGATGTCCAATCTGAAGCCAGGCTTCCACATTTAGTCTGTTTAAAAATGAGCACTTTAAAAAGAAAGAGGTTTATTTTAAAATGAAATTAGTAAAACTACACCTTTATGGAAGACGTACAATGTTATTTTTTTATACAACTTCTATATCTGGCGTTTAAGTTTGACAAGCTGCCGATTCGATCTCTATTTTCTGAAAGTATGAGCCTTTTTTAAAGAAAAGGCAGACTAATTCACAAGATTAACATTTGTTTATAGAATAAAAGTGTTTTTCTTGTGGTTTAAATAATTATCATATACTAGCATAAATATTTTTGTAAATGTTTAATGGTTTAGTAAATACCTTGATAATATACCCAGATATCTTGTATGGAAGTAAATATGTGCCTCTGAAATTTGAATGTTGTATATTTGCACAAACTTTTTCAGGAATATATCTCATCCTTGACTTTCATTAGGATCATTTGGTTGGATTTAAGCGGCTGCTGGTTTATCCGCTACAAGCTGAAAAACTCTCGAAGTTAAAAAATATAGACAAACTGTCTCTAGAATTAAACTATTCTGTTTTCTATGTTGTAATTTTAGACGGGTTTTGTTTAAAGATTCTGCGGTTCTGGCACCGATCAGGTCCGGAAGCGTATGATGAAACTGACCTCTGCTTTTCATAGGAAGTGGTAAATCTCAAATAAGTCATAATTTGACGAATCATGTTTCAAATGACATCAGGTGGCTTTCTGTATCTTTTTCCCTTTTAACTTTAATCATCATTAGACATTAAAGTTAAATCATTTAAATTATTTAATTTCCCTTTGGTATTAATAAAGTATTTTTGAATTTGAAATCTGCTCTTCGTATCGACTCAGGTCTCTCTCTCTCTCTTTCTTTTGATGACCTGAAACGTTTCAGTGACGACACATTAAGCAGCCCGTTAAATTTAGAGCAACTGTCAAAAGGATTGAGGAAGTTTCTGTTTCTACTCACTTTCTTGCAGCCAACGATTTTCCAAAGCCACGAATCAGGATGATCTTTAGCTAACTTTACCGTCATCAAAATGTAAATTACTCTCTTTTTGTCACCGGTTCGCTCCATTCTTTCCAGAGTTTCTACATATTCTTCAGAAACAGCTGCATTTTAAACAGATACCTCTATTGGATGAATGTTTTGTTTTCAAGCAGCTACCAAAATGATTTCCCTCCTGCACATTGGTCCAGCTCGCTTATCTGTGGTTCTTAGAAAAAAAACAACTTGACATTAATTCAAAAAAGTCTTAAGAACCAAAGAAAACTTACAAATCAACAGCGAACGTCTTCCCCCTGCTGCGATCGATGAGCGGGAGAAATGAAAACAGAAACTTCCGTTGCAGACACGCCCCACGTCGTCTTCCTCCTCTGAGAACGAGGCAGATCACAGCATGCCTGAACTTAAGAGACTCTGATTCATGGAGAAACCACAACATTGTAGAGCTGAGAGACGTGTAACAACATCCAAGAGTTAAAAATGAAACCAGATGTTTCCTGGCACAAGGAAAAAAAAATCTACTTTTCAGACAGAAAAAAACCCTGACATTTTAAAACGTCATTACTTCAGATGCTTATGCATCATCAGTCACTCCTTGTGTGCTTCAGGTGTCGTTGCAGAAAATGAATAAAACAGGAACAGGAAGTTTGGTTAATTATTTAATATAACAAAAAGAAAACAGAGTAGAAAACTTGAGACAGACCTTAATACAGCAGCGTCTGACATGTACACTAAGAAACAGAGACATTCTTAGGGAAAGCAAATGCAAAATGTAGTCAAAATAACTGTAAACAGCTGAATGCATGAAATGCAACAGTAAATATTTATTTTCTTCTCAGGGTTACTCACAGGTTTGTAACTATGGTATTTGAAAACACCTCTTTCAAAACTGTAAGATAAACTGATTAGAAATTTCAGATTTCCAGAATTGGTTGCTAGTTTTGCACTTATAAGTAATAATAATAACACCTTGACCTTGGAAGTTGACCTTCAGAGGTGACCTTCTGGGTATTAGAAAAAGAAATACTTTTCAATCTGTAAATGAAAATCACTCAATATTTTCTTGTGTTCGAATGTGAGCTATGTAAAGACGTCGAGGTGAACAGAGTTTACGCTGTGAAACAGCGTAAATGATTTTAATAACAATAAAACTATAAATATTTAAACCATCATAAGTAAAACACAAACTGATTATATGAAGAAAAGTGAGGTTTAAACAACCGCTGCAGAGCTGTTTGAAGAAAAGAGAGACCAACGTTTTTGGTCGTCAAAGTAATAATGCCGGTCAGAACCGGAGCAGAAATTACATCTAACTTGAATGCATGCAGATAAAATATTAGTGTTTTAAATTACAGATTTTATAACAAAGAGTTGCTCACCGGCAGGGTGAATTACAGGTAGATGGGGTTTTAAATTAAACCACAGAGGGGTTTTAAATTTCACTGTGGGGTGCCGGTTAGATATGTTTCTAAGCTGCTCAGTTCTTCTCACTTCCTCCACTTTTCTGTAAATTTCAAACTGTGTCATTGCTACTTTCTGTCTCGTCTCCTTGGCGATTATGACATTTTCTGACAAGGAAATTAGTGATGTACAATGTGGAACATGTTTAAAAAGAAAAGTTGTAAAAATGATAAAATTGGCACATTTTGAATCTAAAATCTGAATTGATAAAATTTTTGGTCTGTGTGCCAATTACCACAATCCTCGCTAAATCTAATTTCTAGTAAAATGTAAAAAAACCAGAAAGAAAGCTAACTAGTCATTTACAGTGTTGACACTAAAATCTTTCTCGTCATTATTTTAAGTTATTTAGCTTCAGTGTGTAATATTCCTCTTGCAATTTTAAAACTTTAAGCTGCATCTTTAGTTTTTCCTTCTTCAGCTGATCGACATCCATTGCATCCACGTCGGAGCCGTCTGAAGCTCCGTCCTCCATCTTCTCCGAGACGTTCCGACAGTCTGAGACTCTGATGCTTCAAGGAGGAAAAACAGTATGTTTGGTATATTTGCATTCTTTGCTGACTGAATTAAAGCGTCTCATCTTACCATGTCTCTGACCTTTCCAATTCTGCTTCGTCATGATCCGGTTTGGCTTCATCTGCGTCCTTCTCATTAATCTCTTTATTAACAAACGGAAGCAGCAGGTTTGCAGGTGCAACAGAAAGACCTGTTAAGTAACCAAAAACAACAAAATGAAGGTTTCTGCTGCTTTAAAAAAATAATTACTGATCTACTTAGTCTCTGAACTCACACATCGGGTCACTTGTTTGGTTCTTGACAAGTGGACTTGAGGTCATCTCTGCATGTTGAGGTGACCTCATCTCCAACACTGCATCTTTCTCCTCATCTGAAGCAATGCCAAAATATAACAAATCAACATAAATATTTAAAAAAAAAGACTCATGAAAGCAATGTTTTAATTAACAGAGCCTTACCGATCCTGTCACCGTTGCTACTAACGACGAGCTCTGCAGAGGCACCGAGGTTCTCGTTGATCAAGTTTTTTCCTTCAGCGACGGCCGCGTCGCCTTCAGTCTCCTCAACGCGAGCGTTGTCCTCCAAAGGCTCACACCAGCTACCTGTTCACAAGCAGCACAATAAAATACTTACTTTGTTTAAATGAAGAGGATTTGGGAAGTTACTCGAGTTGCTCACAAACCTTTTGGACGCCGTTTCGCCTTACAGGCTCTCGACCTCTGGAAATAAACGCAGAATAAGTGTGAAATAAGCAGAAAGACTCAGTGAGCCAAGGGAATGTAAGAAAACAAAAAATCAACCAAAACAAATTCAGAACAAAAGTCAGCAACAAGGACGAATCAGAGCTACTCCAACATGCTGCCGCCATGATGTATGTAAACTTCTGACTCACTGAGGTCACTCTCGCTATTTTGTTCCCTTCTGTTTTATTTTTTTCACAGGACAACTTTCCTGTTTCCAATCGATTTGATGGTCAACTGCAAACTTTTTTCTGTTTGTTTCAAACATATAAAAATGTGTTTGAAACTAAATTCGCATTTAAACAATCTGCATGCGGTCTGCTGTCTGTACCTCTGAAAGCCTTCTGATGATCGCTTTGTTTTTCCTCTTCATCTCCTGCTGCTGAGCTTTGGCAGCATCCGAGTCCTCAGGACTTTCTGCAAAACAGAAGAAACATTCAGAAATACAAATTATTTCATATTTTAATATACGACAGCAAACGTCAATGTAATTTAACGGTATTTTGTTTCCCCAAATAGTTTTTCCTTTATTGATTTCAACATATTGAGCCCCATTTACTTTGTGATCATCACTGAAGAGAAGCATCCCCACAGCATGGTGCAGCCACCGCCATGTATTACTTAATATGTATAATTTATCTGGAGCAGTCAAATCTATTTCACACTTTGAAAAAAAGCATTTGTTTTAGGTTTCATGACCATCAATTATTTGGACAGAGTGATTAACAATCTTCACTGATTAATGTAATTATTTTGAAGATTTAATTCGTGTAAAATCAGGATTTCATATCCTATGATGGTATATTAGGGCCATTGTAGATTTAAAAAAATGGAGGAGTAAATTTCTATCAAAAATATTTCAGAAATTTTCTATAAAAAACTTTGACCTTTTTTTAAGTTTGAAAATTTTTAAGTTTTGAAACTCAAACTTGCATTTTTTTTTTTTTTTTTTGGTTTTGCAAAAAATTCTCAGATTATCTTAAAATGTTATCTTTTTCTAGCAAATTTCTGAGAATAATCTAAAAATCTCAGATTTTTTGATGGAAATTTACTAATAACCTTTAGTATGTTTCCATAGTTCAGAGTGACATTAGCCTAAAAATGATAATACATTAAATTAGAATATAGTTACAAGATTATTCAGAATATTTTCTGTCATTTGTAATTTCTTTTTAAGGAAAAAAGAAATTACAAATACAAATTTGTGTGTTTATTTGAACATACAAAATCAGATTTTGTATGTTCAAATAAAAATCTGAGATTTAATTTTTAAGTCACCTCGTCCAGCCCTACCTACCATGTAAATAGTTTGCTTTCTAGTTAAATTAAAGAACTAAAAATGTATCTAATTTTCAGTGAGGAAAAATGTCAAGTTTTTAAAGAGAAGAATAAAACCATATTTGTCCAAATTTACAGAGAAATGTCTCCATATAAATATAGAGACATATAAATATGTTCCACCAACCAGCAGTAACTTCAATAAATTATTTTAGTGGGAAACGTCACCTCTGGCGTCGCCGCGGTCGTCAGGGTAATCAGCATCAGCAGGCACATCCCCGTTGTCCGTTTTATTTTCATCCTCAGCGTCTCCTGAGTTTATACTGTGGTTGTCGTTTCTCTCATCCGGATCATCCCCATTTCTTTGGCCTCTCTTCAGAAACTCGTCGCTGTCTGACTGGTGGTGGCCATCTTTACTACGACCTCCCTCAGGACTCTGAACAGGCCGTACTTCTGCCTCTGCTGAGGGGGTAAACTCTCCTGGAGGGATGCTTTTCTGGGTCACCGAGGAGGAAGATCTCTTATATTTACTGCGCTTAGATCCCTGGAACTTGTGGACGCTTTTTGTTGGCTTGTTTTCCATTTTTCTTGATGAAACTTTAACCTTCTGTTGTAAGAATTAGGAATGAGTTAAACTCAGAATAAACATAATTACTGAATAAATCGTTTTGCTAATGCTAAGTGTAGGTACGATACCTTCATAGGCTCAGCTCCTCTTCTTTGATATCCAGTTGTGGACAGAATACCTTTCTGTAAGATCAAACATATGTTGATCAACTTTTGTTTAGGACTTTATCGATTTAAGTTGACAAAAGAGGAAAAAAAAGGAATTACCGCAAACCAGTGAGTCAGAGGTCTTCCTTCATGGCATATGCTGTTTTTCCATTTTTTGCACGCTCCTCGTCCTGCAAACTCCTCAAAGGCAGGGGGGGTAAACCACAGGCCCCGACACTCTATGCAATTCTCACCTAAAATCAGACCAAAATCATAGATTATATAGATTGTGGTAGACACTAACCCCACTAACAGTGTGTTTAAATAATGGATGGACAGATATTCAAATTTTAGCTATTTAGCCTTCGAAATAAATGATAAGTTTGGTACTATCTTGCTAACTACATAGCTAAATATTTAGCCTGCTAACTACAAAACAAAAATATTTAGCTAGCTAACTACGTATTTAGTTTGGAACTGCGACAGGGCAAATAACCCAAATTATTGCTGCTAATATTTGGCTGTGTAACATCACAAACGACACCCACTCCTAATCACACTGATATTCTTCTACAATTTCATACATATTATTTTTTTTTAATTAAATTTCGTGTTTGCATCACTTCTTTTTCTCACCTTTTTTCAGCTTCTCTATGTCCATAACTCCCTCTTTGTTTTCACAAGTCACAAACCAGATTCCTAGGAGGACAAAAGCCACAAATGATACAACAGTTTATTTCTACATTGATTATCAGAACATTAAAAAATTTTATATTAACTGTGAAATAATTACACTTTAAAGGCTTGGTAAGGATTTTTTTTTTTTTTTTGCTTTACCTCCCCCCAAAAATAAAAAAGATAAATATAACACCTACACTGAAAAAAAACTCACCATTTTGCTTTGTAATGCCATTGTCTTTAATCTTCTTCTTCCCATCACTTTGGTCACTGTACGCATTAAAAGATTTAGCTCTTGCTTGCCTTAAGCCAAACTTTTTGTCCCCAGATTTCTCTTCCACTTCCTCTTGCACACAACAGGATTTCAGCGAAGGCCTTTTTCTCTTCGACATATTTTCTTGCCAAACAATATTCCGCCTTGGCGTCGGGTCTAAAGAAACTATTTCAGGAGAAGAAGTCTGGGAAAAAGAAAAAAAAAAAACAGCATAGTAATCATGAGTGAAGTTTTGGTTCATTTCTCACAAGTTGAATATCCAAGTTGTTCATAGATACAAATTAAAGTGATCACAACTGCCCAGAATTACTGATAATTCACAGATTTTAAATTTAAGCTGAGCACAAAGGTTGTTCTGAAACGTCTCACAGGTTTTAATTACTAAAGAACTGAAACATTTCCTCTCCGTTAAAGCTGATTTTAATTCAGTTTCAGACCTTAATCGCTGTCAGATAGTCTTAATTATGTCTTCAGATAAAATGACTTATCCCAATCAGAGCTGTGATTTTTCTCGTTCTCAAGTTGGATAAAGAAGCAGGATTCGCGGTTGAAAATTCAATATAGCAGAATTGTGAAACGCCCTGTGGGAGTTTAAACAATTATTTAGGAAAATGTACCAATATTTTCCGACATTTTACATTACGCTGGACAATTAAAATGGAGGAAACCGCTTCGAAAGACAGATGTTTTTGATATTTGTTGTTTCACACTTATTCACACGCCTGGAAAATTCCATGTTTTTCCCAGATGTTGGACACGAAATATTAGTTTGCCTACATCCTCAGAGGACCAGGACTCCTCCAGTAATCTGCACTGTGACACGGCTAGCATCCCAGCAATTAACGAACAAGAAGGAACTGTGCGTGTAACTACATCTGTTTGCAGCAAGTTTAACGGAATAACATCATCCTAACCTGGAAACCACTTCCCCTTCTTTACGTCCACGCTACGGCGGTGGAAAATTACAGGCCTCGCTAAGTCCGCTGCGTCCTCTCACCTGAAAACACAGGAGTGAAAACGCCTCTCGTGGCTGGAGCTGTGTTGACTGCTGTATTCAAAAGCCACGCGCGCGTGCTGAACGCACTGCTACGTTACGCTGCTACGTCGGTGACGTTGGTTTGGCTGTTTCGAAACTTTATTGACAACATCGTATTGATGTGTTACATGAAACGCTTGTTTTATGAAGCCAAATAGACGAACTCCAAACCAAACATTGGATGTTTCCTCCAAGAATTTCTTATTTATGACTCAAATATCAAGTATATCCCCAAGAAAGCTGTTTATACAACGAATATTTTCGACAGGTTCAAGATTAATAACTTCTATGGATGTTTTAAGTCACCCCTGATTCTTTGTAAATCTGCTGGTCAACAACCAATGTTTTTGTATGTCCTACAATTTTCAATAAAATAAAAGAAACTCTTGACGTTGCATGAAACACTTGATGTTTTATGTAATACGTGCATATCTATTGTGGGTGAATCGTACCAATGTTCGCAACACTCTTAGCTTTTCGGTATTGAACGTTTTTCCCCAACTGCTTAGCAGCCAGAGGGAAAATGCTAATGTAAATTCTCTCGATGTAGCTCATATAGTAGAGTTTAGATGGGGTTTTTTTTTCGTTGTGTTTACCGTAATAGAAAACAACTGATGCTTACAATAAATTGCGAAGTCATTTTAAAGCTAAAAGATCAGAAGATCTTTCCTGCCGACAGCCATCAATAGCTTTTTGAAGAATCTAAATTAATGAGTTACAACAACGTTTAATTTCCTTTTGGGATTAATAAAGTATGTTTGAATTTGAATTGAATTGAATTGAATTAATACAAAAAGATTGTTTTCCTGTATCTATAACATAAGTAAAAATGTTAGTAGAGTACTGATCACTCACAAAAACATTGCCAAAATTACTTATACCCTACCTAATATATCAAACTTAGTTTTTGACGGTTTCACTTTGTTATTTTTTTTTTGTTTTTTTGCAGCACATGTTTATGCATATCAAAGCCTGTTCAGAACTTATGTGGTCATTGGCCATTAAACAGATTTTATTTTGAAGGGCAGGGTTATGTTCTTTTTTTGTGTGGTTTACAGTTGCCTGACTGGAACGTGACCGATGATGTCATTCCCCTGATGCCATTCCCTTGCTTTGATTTGACAGTGATGTAAGAGATGATGTCATTGCCAGAATCTGCAATGCCTTTTGTAACAGAGGCACAGAGCAGAAGTCATTGAACCAGAGGCCACTGCTGAACAGAAGCCGCTAATTCAACACAACAAGACGGAAAAACATGGGTCAAAGAGAAAGCTCAACTTCTGCGGAAACCAGCAACGCAGAAAATAATGAGACGAATATTGATCCAAAGGAGAGAAGACAATCCCAGGAGAGAAGACAATCCCAACACTTGAAACGAAACAGCAGAGACGTAGAACTCAAAAATTTGGATCGATCTGGACAGACATCTCACAAGAACAAAGGGAGAAAAGTGGAGGAGAGCAATTTAAACGGTAAAAAGCAACACCAACGGAGGAAATCGAAGAGTGTAGCCATGAATCTCCACACTTTGGATAAGACTGAACAGACAAAACACAAAAAGACAAAAGAGAGAGAAGTCAAAAGTTTGGAGGAAACCAGCATGCCGAGATGGTATAAGGCCAGTTTCGATGCAAGTGGGAAGATGAAGAACAAAGGCCAAGGATCCAAAACTTTGGATCAGACAAAACAAAGGAAGAAAGACTTAGAAGTCAAATTTTGGGAGGACACCGACAAGTCAGGAAAGCAACTGGTCAATTTTAATTCAGATGAGAGACGGCAATCCCGACAGAGAAAATCTAAGAGCACAGATCGCCATGATTCAAAGTCTTTAGGTCCAACCACAGAGACAAAGCAAAAGAGCAAAGCGAGAAGGGCCAAAAGCATGGACGACATCAGCACGCCAGGACGGCGTCTGTCCAGTCCAGATTCAGATGAGAAAGAACAACCGAGAGAGAGGTCGTCAGAGAGCAACGACCCAGACAGCAAAACGTCAAAGGACAAAGCAGAAACGACCATTTTCAATATATACCAAGCACTCAGGTTGATCGACAAGCAACTTGAAAGAATCACGAAGAATCAGGAATGCCTCATCACGTTATCCAGAAACATCGAGACCTTTAAGAACCAAGTTAAGACAATTAGGAGTACCACGACAGAGAGGCGAGATAAGCTGTGGGACAAGTACGAGGACTGGCAGAAACTGATCCAGGGTTTTGATTATCCTTTAGCGCACCTCGGAGCCATGATGAATGTAGATATGAATTTTCTGAAAAGGCTTAAGTTCTTGGATTATGTCATCGTCAGCATGGACACCCTCAAGGACAGCTGCAGAAAACTGGAGAAGGAAAAAGACATCTCCGAGGCGAAACACCAAGAAGAACGAAACAAGCTTCTCGATGAAAGGGTCAAGTTGGAAAATGTGCAAAAACGCCTGGAAGACATGTTTCCTGCCATAAAGAAGAAAATGAAGAGGAAAGAGAGAGAATCACACAGAGCCAACAAGGGAACACAGACACAATCCCACTATGAAGCTTCCATGATGCTGTCAAATCTGTTGGCGCAAATTCACACATCATTCGCACATTTTGCACAGAATTTCCAACACTTATCATTATAATGTCATTACAGTACAATTCCCACACATCCCCACCCTTCCCTAGCTAACCTTTTCCACATCTGATGCGTTGCAGGTTCGGTGAAATTATGAGAACCTGCAACGCATGCTCCAAAACATCTGCATGTTTTGAAACATGCAGATGTTTCAAAAGTTGCAACTTGTGAAACATCTGCATCTTCCAAAATAATAAAAAAAAATAATCCAACACATAGTTGTTGGTGTGGGTTTCCCTGGGAGAGCCAGGTTTATCCCACATGTCCCCATTCCCTTTAGTGGTCTCTAAATGCCACTGAAGGGAATGTAACAGATTAACGACGCAAAATTAATCTGTTGCATGTGTGCCAGACTGTGTTTGTGTTTTTCATGCAGGTCGATTTAGGATTAGAGGGAGTTTTTGGAGGAAATTTAACGCAGCATGGTCGGCCGCCTTTCCAACTTTGAGCAATTAAAAAAATAAAAAAAAAATTTAACTAAAGAAATATATTTTTTCGGTAACATTTTATTCAACATGGTGTGAATAAGACTGACACAACGGTGTCATAAACATGACATAACACCTTTCATGAACATGAAGGAGTCGTTATAAATGTCTATGACTGTTGTCATGAAGTGTAATTTGGTAAATTATGACAGTTTTAATGCAAAGTTGCTCTAAAAGTTGCATTAAAAGTGTCATTATTTGCCAAATGACACTTCATGACAACAGTCATATATTCATAAAGACTCCTTCATGTTCATGACAGGTGTTATGAACATAAACACCTTTTTAAACACCTGATTATTATTAATATAATAATCATGACATAAAGGTGTTATGTCATAATCATGACATGTCATGATTATGACAGCGTCATGTCAGTCTTATTCACACCCCATCAAATAAAGTGTTACCATTTTTTATTGTTTATTTTGCATTGTATTTTAATAAGACAAACAGTTGTTTAATACAAAATATTCACAGTTACTCTAGTTTTACTATGTTTCTTATGTTTAGTCATTTTCAAGATTCCTTTCTAAACCTTTCTCCTGCTCACATTCCTTGCTGGTTTCTTTTTTAAAAAACAACAACAACAACAATAATAATAATAATAATAATAATAATAATAATAATAATAATAATAATAATAATAATAATAATAATACCCTTTGGATATACATTTCATCTAGCTTTGTTTAGAGAGTTAATGTTTTATTTGTTAGTGTCTTACAGAAAGTTAAGATTTGTTACATTATATGTAACAAATACAATAAAAATATCTAGTTCTTTTTCCTGAAATTCTTTTTTGCCTACTGAATGAAACAGAAAATTGTCTGATTTTCTGAATTATTTTAGAAATTCCCTAAAAATTGGGCTATTTAATTATTCAGAGTCCTCTGTGTTTCATTTTTATTTACCATATTTTCCGCACTATAAGGCGCACCGGATTGTAAGGCGCATAGAATAGACACTACAGTAGAGGCTGGAGTTACGTTATGCATCCACTAGATGGAGCTTCACTAAAGGGAATGTCAACAAAACCAGCGTTCTGACAACTATCCCAGCATGCACCGCGAGCTTCTTCTTCTACGGGGAAAATGAAGTTGGCGGCTGCTTACGTAGTTGCTAGACCTGTTGTGGCTCAATATTGGTCCATATATAAGGCACACCGGATTATAAGGCGCACTGACAGCTTTTGAGGAAATTGAAGTTTTTTAGGTGACCTTTATAGTGCGGAAAATACGGTATTTTATTGTCCTTTTTTTGGCAGTAGGTGCTTCAGAATACTGGAGTTAAATTTCCAATACTTACCTGAGTCTGGTTTCCAGTTTTTGGGTTTCATTTGTAAGGAAATAAGACTATCATCAATCAAAGGTGGAACAGAAACATCAGTTGATTTTGGGAACGCACTGATCCATTTTTTTCACTTGAGAAACCAATACAGATATCTAATGTTTAGTATTGGTCGATAACAATTTGATAGATAGAAAATGCTGCATTAATTTAAACTGTCACAGACATAATGGCATTAACTTGACAACTCTGCACCGGTACAGCACACTTAAATACACCAATAACTTCACAAGCTTGGTCAAACATGTAAAAACAACTTTAATTTGTTGAGTCAGTGCAGTTAGGAGTAGATCATAAATAATAACTGAAATGAACAAAAACAACAGGTTCACCACCTGAGTAAAACATGTAAAAATAAACTGCAACAAACCTTTTTTCAAATAGTTCAGAAAGTGCAATTAGGAACTCTAAACACAACGTAAAATAAATAAAACATGATGAATAGAATTAGACTGACTAGATCTGCCCCGGTGGATCGGGCTCACTGTCACCGACCCCCGATCTAGAATTTGTTTTCAATATACAGATATTAATATCAACCGGCTGATTTGATTGGTCAATAACTAATTTGCTACAAGCCAATTATCAATTTTTTGACTTTCTATTTGGGCTGAGCCAGAAAAATCTGATTAATTTGGAAAAGTTACTGAAAACTGTGTTTGGGTGACATGTTTAATGCCATTTGTCATAAAATTAATCTTGAACGAGGCTGAGATTTCAAATTCAATTTCAAAAGTACTTTATTAATCCCAAGGGGAAATTAAATCATTTGCTCCAATTATAACGTGGAGTGAGTGTTAAATTTAGGTAATCTAACTTTAGGGGTATTTCTTCTTGCAGTAATTTTTTCAGGTTTAGGCTATTGTAACCATAAATTTGAGAAAATCATAATTACATCATCTAAACCAACAGAGAGGATTAACCAGTGACAATGTCAGTCTATTTTATGTGAAATTATCTGACTATCAAAGATTTTTTTAACACATCAGCTTCCCCTGACCTTGAGAAGCCATGACAAAAATAAGCTTCATCTTCGAATGTTTACACCAAAAGTTGCTGTCTTTGTGTTTTAAATGAGTTTATCAGGATGTTGTGTTTGTATTTATCCTTTTACAAGATAATAAAAACTTTTCCTTTAAGTTAAGTCTATTAAGCCTGAATCCTCTGTCATTACCTATTCTATTTTTTTTTCATAAATTATGGAGATAATCATTGAAATGCTAATATCAGCTGTAATTTACTAAAGCCGCATTTTATTTTCTGCAAACGTTGATTGGGAAGTGATTTTGAATGAAGTTATCTTTAGCTCCTCCCTCATTGTTCCCCACAGACTTAATTTGCGACAATTGCTCCATTCAGCTCTATATTAAACATTTAATAAGAAAATCATTTCAGAGCGCATTTTTTCTTAAGTTCCTTAACTTTCAAACTGTAATATTCCTCACTTATTTTTAAAACTTTCAGCTCAAGCTGTATTTTTTCTCTCTTCAGTTGATTCAGGTCTGCTGTGTCATCCCCGGAGCCAGCTGACAGCCCTGACCATGACTGATTCTCCTTTTTCAAGTGTTGAGCGGCTGAGTGGCTGCTGTAGAGAGATGTAGAAAGAGTCACAAAGACGAGCAAATCCATAGAGATTCTCTGTTGAGTACTGAGGCTGTTACTTCCTACCTTGACTCTGATCTTGCTGGTGATTCAGGTTCAGGGCTGCTTACATCTGGGCTAAAAGCGTTAAAATCAACGCCTGTAAGTACAAAGAAAATCTTCCACTTAATTTTTTTTTCCTATTTTTTACAAAAGGTTACTGCAGATATTGGTTTCTGAACTCACTTGGTGTCTCAGATAGGTATTGAGACGTTATTGGGTCTACGTTTTCAGAGGCACTCGATCCTTCAGATTTGTCAGACTCTGAACAAATTCTCCTCATTTTCAGAGCTGGTTTTATCACGTCGAGTTCTTTACCAGTCTTCTCGTCGTCTTTCGGAACGACAGAGATTATATTAACTTTTATCAGAGAAATATGAGATGGCTGATAGACCTATTTAAGGATGACCTGTGGTCTCACTGTCATCGGAGTCCATGAATCGGGTATCGTGACAGTTCCGCTCATCTCCATTTGACTTGCTGACATTTTCTGCCTCTTCATCAGATGTGCCTTCCTCCGAAGTCTCCCTAGAACTGATCAAGTCTGTTCAGAGATAACACAGAGCAGCAGTTACTCCACATAAAGTAAAGCACTTCTGTCTGAAGCCTCAGGTGTTCCTGACGCTGTTTCGGTCAGGAACACCTGACCGAAACAGCGTCAGGAAACGTTTCCTTTCACGTTTGAAAGGAAACGTTTTTGAAAAGGAAGACTTATTTTCAGTGGCAGGCATAAGGCCAGTGTTTAGATTTCAGCTTGAATGATGACCTCTGCAGAAAATAGTACCTTTCTTGGTCGTCTCTTTGGGTAAAAGGCATAACAGTGGTTTTTGGTTTTTACTCTGTGCGTCTGCTCAGTTTACTAATCTAAATTTGTGGAATCTGTTGTTTCTTGTTTGGTTTTACTGCCTGAATTCTCTGTCATTACCTCTAACTCTTGTTAGAAATTCATCCGCAGACTCTTCTTCCGACTCTTTTTTGGGAACATATGTCCTGTTAGGTTTTTCGAAACCTTTCTCCAATTTCCATAACTTGGTTTTTGATTCCAGGATGGACTTCTGGTTGAAATAAATAAATAAAACTTAGTTCCCTCATTACAGATGTTTTGTTAAATCCTGGTGTTGCTCACTTACTTTCACTGGATTTTTTCTTTTCTTTGTGTATCCCTGCTTGTACAGTAGACCAGTCTGTGATTAGAAATAATGACATTTCTTCAACTGCATTTATTATTATTATTATTTAATAAATGCAGAAAACACACAAAAAAAGAAATTACCTTAAACCAAAATTGCAGAGGTTTCCCTTCATGCAATATGGAGACTTTCCATTTTTTATTTGAGCCTTTTCCTGCAAACTTCTCAAAGCCAGATGCGGTATACCAGCTGCCATCACACTTAATACACATCTTATCTAAACAGATTTATAGAAAATTGATTTTTTTTTTTTAAAAATATTTACAAAATAAAATAGTTGGTAGAAGAGCCATTAAATATTACAATACTCTTTATTTTTATTTTATATTTTTAGTCTGTTATTTATGTATTTGGTAACACTTTATTAACACTATGTATACATACATATAGTTACATAATTGTTAATATGTAGTATCAAACCAGGCGGTAGTATATTATCCTATCGTACATGATTCTGCTCACCTCTTTTTAGCTTTTCAAGATCCATGATTCCCATTTTGGTCCCGCAGGTTACAGGTAAGACTCCTTGAAATATGCAAAAGAAAAAAAAACCTCAGTGGTGCTACTCATGCAGATTATGTTCCTGATATTAATATTACCAACAGATATACTCTTGGAATAGGTACAGGTGTTTTGATCCGGATGAGTGCATTTGCCAAAATGTATGCGTTTGTCATCTCAATAAATCTCAAGTAGTGTAATTCAGTTATTTCAAAAGTGAAGCTTGTCCATGATCTAGACTCGCCAAATTCAAAGTGCTATATTCATAGTTTGTGTTGCTTTTCATGATTGAGTTTTACAGCTAATTTCCAGATTGATTACAAAATATCAGTTTATCTTATTAGGAGGAAAACTTGACACCTCCGTAAGGAGGGCAAACTACCAAAAGTTGTTGTTAAAGAAACGTACAGCTTGAGTGCCGTATACTGGTAGAAGCATACTGGTATAAAATTCAGTGGAAGGAAAAAGTGAGGCGATAAGAAAAACGGACAAGCAATAGGGATAACTTTTTAGAGTGTTCAAGGGTTTCAGAGAGATTCAGAACCACCACACACAGGCGCGTCCTGGATAACGGGCTACTGCATTCCTGGAGTTGACACACTTATCAAAACCATAGATGACGTCAGAAGTGCATTAAATGGGCAAACAAGAAAAAGTTAAACTCTTCAGATAAAATAAAATTTTGAGTTTCTTTTGGAAATCAAGGTCCCAGAGAATGGCAGAAAAGCAGGGAGTCCAAGTTGTCTGAAATATACCGCTCTATGTTCACCTTTTAAATGGGATGTGCTCCATTATACATATGTTTTATTTAGTAGTTGTCCATGAACATATTAATTAAAATAAAGGACTGATGTTAAAAACTGCACCTTAATTCAAAGACCTACTTTTTCGTATCCCTTGGATGTGTGTTCTTTCTTCTTCTCTACCATATTCTTCTTCGTCACTTTCTTCTTCTTTTTTCACAGAGAAGGAAGCCAAAGGCTTTTCTCTCTCCATTTGGTCTTTCAGCCCAAATTCAGTGTGGCGCTGCTGTAGTTGTTTTGTTCTGTTGAAAGAAATTGTAACAGGAATATTTAAGAAACTTTTATCTCTGAAATTAGATGCTCTGTCTCCTTTTGAGACTTTGCTTTAAGCAGGTTGTCGCAACTCTCTTCCTCCTTTAACAAGATTTTTATTTTATTTTTTACCAATATTTCACTTAGATGGCTTAAATAGTAAAAGTTAGTACACACAACTAAATGGGCCTCAAAGATTTTACAGGGTAATTCTGCCTGGAAATTGTGATTTTTGCTAAACTACTGATATTTTTCTCATAAAAAAATCCTCGGACATTGGTCTCGATTGTTATACTGACTATTCTTCCTTGTTTTAGTACACAGATAAAAACAAAAGACTACTTTGGTTATATCTGCAAGACTTTTTAATGTAATTTAAGGATTTCAGTTTTAGGTTTGAACTCTAGCTAACTTTTAAACCAAGTGATTTTGTTGGCCTGAATAACCTTGTTAGTTTGTCTGGACAGAACAGTTACGAAACATTTGATCCAATAAATGCAATATTTGGCTTGACATGAAACCACATATGTGTGAAGACATTTTAATTGACAACAACAGGTCATGATGAAACTAAGTCAAATTAGATCACAAAATCAAGGCAAATAGAAAGGCAGGCAGGACTGGAAACACAACACGGGGAATTAGTCCTTCAGTATGACTTAATGTTAAAAGTCTAATTTAAATCTGTTTACAAAGCATCAATAACCCCATACGATGTCAAGAGAATGTATCTTACCTCCTGATGCCACTCAGTTGAAGAAATGAAACAGAAAGTTTACGCTGCTGAACCTTTTCAAATATTCCCACCTCACGTTATGTCACAACCCTGGACTATGCCCTTTAAAACTGTTAGCTTTATGGGCAAGGTTGTGTTTATAGTAAATTTACAAAGAAAACCAAGGCAGAGATGCCTCTAATATCTCCAGCCCATTGAAGGAGTTTGTAAAGATTTTTCTCCAGAGATCTTTGACTGTATGGAGAGGTTAGTGTAGATAAGCTCTTCATCCTGATGATAAAACAAAGTAAGGATAAAGCCTGGTTACATTAATTTGGGGAGTATATTTTTCTCTGAAGGAATTTTTTTCTCCTCTTTCTTCCATATCTTCTCCCCAATCCTCATTGTCTCTCATTTTTCCCATTAGTTCAAGTTAAAGATAATGAAATTATGCAAAATAATAATAATAATAATAATAATAATAATAATAATAATAATAATAATAATGAAACAGTCAGACTTATGGGGATGGGCGCTCAGTCTTCCAAGTATAATAGAAATCCAGTCGATTTCACTATGAGTTTAAAAAGACCCCCTAGGATCTTTTGAAACTGGGGCTGCATGATACCAGGAAGCAAATTTAACTTGCAAAAATCAACATTGCTGGTTTGGCTTGAGCTTTACAATCAATGGACGCCAAATCAATGCAGGCGATTCTGACTGAGGTTCAAGCAGTTTTAATTTCAAGCAATCATATAACCTCCACACTATGATGAAATCATGTTACATGGTCCTTAGAAAATACAATATGCGATATTCTACAACAGTTACGTTAGGATACAAGTTGGCAATATGGGGACTCAGATGTAAGAAGCTTGTGAGTTCTTCACAACAGAAACCAGCATGTCTCCTGTGAGCAGATAAAGCGTTATGATGGCAAAGCTGATTAATGTTTGACAGAAACTGAACTTGCAGAGAAAAGAAACCGAAAATAATATTGGCTGAAAAAGACATTGAGAGGTCTCCTTGCTTTGATGATGCTCAGAGTTGTTGAGCTTTTTTTAAAAAAAAACGTTTTCAGCCGATCTGTCATCTAAATATCAATAACCATCAATGCAACTTTTAAAAATTGTTCTTCTGGGATTCCCTTCCAAGGAGAGAACCAACTCACTCATGCTATAAAAACAGTACAACCCTGAACTCTAAGGTTTTTTTTAATTATGGCTAAATAAAAAATAAATAAACTGCATCTTTAAAACCTGGGCCACTTGCAGATACCTCTACTGGTACTGCCACCTCTACCTCAGCTGCCTATGTTTTTATCTTTGGGTATGATGTTGGTTCTAAATGAGGCTATATTTACCCATGTGTGCTGGAGACACACGGACTACATGATGTATAATACAGAGTGGGCCATAAGTTTCCATACATAGGAGAATGTAAAATGTTTATTTCTTTTATATTTCAGTTTCCCAAAAAGATGTGTTTGACAAAAGAGCAAAGAATTGAAATTATACCGATGGCAGGATCAGGAAGCGGTCTTTAACAGTAAACATGGAACGAGCATCACTGTTGCAGATCAACCACAAAGTGGTCCAAGACATACAGCGATTTACAGAGCCCCACAAACATAGAAACAGTTGTCCAATATAAAATTATTATTGTTTCTATGAATGGAAACTTATGGCTCACCCCGAGGTTTCTCTTAGTTGGGGGTGTAAGGGCACCAGACACAGCTTCTGAACAGAGAGGATCTTAGCTCTACAGGTCTAGTGGCAGAGAACTGAAACTAACTTTACACCCCCAAAAAATGCTTTTCAAGGATTTTGTGGACTTTATTCATTAGTAACTGGATAGACATATGCAGCAAATGGCCCTGGGCTGGGAGCTGAACCTGGCACACCTTCATCAAGGACTGTAGCCTCTATGGTCGGGCACCTGATGCCTGACCATAGAGCCATGTGGTGCCACCCCCCCCCCCTAAAATCTTTCCTAATATTTCAGCCTCACCTTATAACTGTGTTTCTCAAATCCAGTCCTCAGGGACCACTACCGCCCTGCATGTTTTAGGAGTTTCTCAAGTAAGACACCTAAAACACGGGTGTTAATCACCCACCTGACTCGAATATGCGGTTGATTGGCTTCTGCAGAATTTGATGCGATGCAGAGTAGGTAATGTAATCCTTTGAATCAGGAGTTATGGAACAGAGACACGTCTAACATATCCAGGTCAGTGCATATTCCAGTTCTCAGTTGTCCCCGAGGATTGGAATGGAGAAGCACTGCCTTAGAATAAGATAACCAGTGGACTCTGCCATGTAAAATGAGCTCACAAGGGCAGGAAGTTTAACAGAGTAAGCAGAAGCATGAATGACTTTATTTTGTAAACCACACTGCTGCAGTTTATTGAATTGTTTTACGAGTCTACTTGCAGTACCAAGAAAAGCTCAGTTCTTTCTTATACATAACGAATGTACCATTGTGTAAAAGGGTATGGATATAATCATCATGACATGTAAACAAAACTCACACAAGCATACCTGTAATTTTTAACATCATGACATTCATCTCTCAAAATGTGGATAATCCACAGATAGATTATAGATGAAACAGTGATAAAAAAAAAACAATTTTTACTTTTTCCACCATGGTATTTTGTTCAGAAACCTTAACGGGATCTTGAAGAACATCCCGGTCCAAATAACTGCTCCTGCAATCAGGTATCCAACAGGAACCTGCAGAGCAAAGCCCAACACCAGAACCACCAGCACTAAGGACAGGAGGATGTTGGAAACCTTGCTGATGTAAATTTCTTTCTCTGCTTCCTTCCTTGCATTCTCTTCCTCTTTCCTCCAAAACTCTTTAAGCTTCTTCTTGAGCTCCTCTTCTTTGTACTTGAGCTTGAATTCTGCCACCTTGCGGTCGATGGCGTTGCTTCTCTCGGCCAGGATGCTCTCCTGTCTTTCTCTGATCTTGCTTTCCTGTTTGGGGTAAAGCTTTGCGTGATAGTGACTGCCTCCGTTCAGGGCCACCAGCGTCTTGATCTTCTCCAGAAAGCACGCCACCTGCAGCTGGTCCTCCCGGTTTTTGTTGTTGAAGACGTGGAAGCAGCCGCTGCACTTGCGAATGAAGTTGCGGAGGTTGTCGTCGCTCTCGGAAATGACCTGGTTTATCGTTTTTCCCTCCAGCCGATCCCCGTGCGTGAACAGCACGAGGGTGTAGTCCCACACCCGTGGACCAAACTTAGCTTCAATCAGCTTTTGGGTGTCTTCGTCCTCCTGTGTCAACTGTCCAACTGGGACGACAAACACGAAGACGTGAGGGCCCGGCTCGTGGAGCGTGACGCGCATGAGAATCTCCCGGATGATTTCGTCCTTGTTGCGTTCTTTCCCAAACAGCCCAGGCGTGTCGATGACTTCGACGGGCGTATCTTCGATCGTCCCCTCCTCCTTTTCACAGTGGACGGTGACTCTCTTAAGCTTCATGTCGGATTTGAAGACAGTTTTGTTGAGGATTATGTTCCCAGTGCAACTCTTGCCGACTCCACTCTTCCCAATGAGCATGATCCTCAAAGGTTCTGAAAAGAAAATTAGCAAAAGAAATTACTCTTCTGTTGATAAAAAAAAACTCTTTTCTGTCTTTACTTGCTCAGAAATGTAACATTAGCTTATAGTAGTTAAATATGAATTGCGAGTAACTCTGTTAGGTTTTTTTTCTGACTTGTTCCAAACTGTTTGTTGACAAATTGCTTTTATAAAAAGTACATGAGGTGGACTGGCAGTGCTTGCTAACCACTAATCCAGGACATGTTACTGCACCATTGGTGTCTCTTCAGTCAGAGGCTTTTTCAGATTCACTGCGAGACTGACTGCTTTACATGAGATCCTTCCTGTCCACAGCATCCCCATCCAAAATGACTCTTTGAAGTTACTTGGATTATGTAAGTTAAGACTTTTAACATTAAACTGTGCTAAATAAAGCAATTTTGAATCTGAATCGAATTCACAAATAGAATTGAGCTTGTATAAATAAAGTACACATATATATTCCTGCAAGGCCCTGAAACAAAATCCAGATTTGCTTACAATCATCATAATTGTCATAACTATGAGAAATTAACCTTTGAAATCTTTCACTCTGTGTTGTTAATCATTAAATTGAGTTTTTATTGTATTTGTTTTTTTAAATTGGTTTAATCATGAATAAATAATTATCTCTGGATCATAGCTGAGTTGAGTTTTGTTACTCAAAGCCTAATCCGACCTTAGTTTCACTTTCTGGTTTCTGTTTTAAATGGGTGAAATGTTTAGGGTTTGAAATTTGTTACTCCTCTTAAAGTAGTAATGCCTTTTAAGCTAAGATGTGGTTATTCTATTATTCTTTTTTTTTTAAAATTATTATTATTTTTACTTCTTTGGGCTCTTTTGCATCATCACAAACACGTTAGTTATAATTTCCCAGTATCTCTTCCTGGTTTTCCTTGAGAACTAGTGACGGTTCTGAACTTTCACACTCGGCCTACCTGTGGTCTGTTCCGCGTCAGGGTTTCCGACAGCAGCCATGGCAGAAATCAGTTCTGGGGTTGGAAAATGGCTGCAGATTTAAACATCCAGTCCTAATATATCAGCTTTTTACGAGGAAGAGAAAAACGAAACTGAAACTTTAGCCAACAAATGTGAGGTGAGGCGAGGCGCTGACGGCCGCCACTTGAACTCACCAAGTGAATAATAATGGGAACAAAGGCTGGAATCCCTCTGTAAAAAGAAGCTGTCTGGCGCCATCTAGTGGTACTTATGAAGTACTACACCTCTGGATCTCATGTAAACACTAAGTCTCTGTAGACTTAGCAATTCACCTAATTAAAGAGGCAAATTCCGAATTTATAATTGTTTTTTCCCCTTTAAACCCAAATTACCCACGCTAATTTGTAATAACTGTTCACTCCATCAAGGTTTATACATATTTTTCCAGAAAAAATTAAGATACCAGCATAAACCAAAAGAAAGGACACAATGAAACGATGTAGGGATGGAGGAAGGACAACAGGAAAGAAACGAAGGAGGAACATAAGAAGTGAAGGTGGAAAGACACAAGGACAGAAGGGATGGACGATGAAGGAAAGGACAGAGACAGAAGTGAGTAAGAGACACAAGGAGGGCTAGGAATAAGGACACAATGAAGACAAAAAGGAAAAAGGGAAGGAAGGACAAAAAGATGGACAGAGAGAAGGAAAGTATACTGGACAGAAGATCACATATAGAAAATGGATTAGGGAATAAAGTCAGCGTAAAACTTAAAAGACAACCCTTATTTGACATGCAGTCCCTGTGAAAGATTTGCACTAAAAATGGACGTGGACGTCAGTAATTATGGCTTCCAACATGTCCTGTTGTTTTCAGGCTGGAATGATCACAAGGCAAACAAAATGTTCCATGTTAGAATTTATTGCAGATTTTCTCTAGTTCACACAGAGTAAAAAATATACATAAAATCTTAAATATATAATTAAAGCTGCAAACAGCCTCAAATACGTCTACGAAATGCCAGTTGCAGAGAAACTATCCACTTTCTGCAGCTATCTGGGATCTTCTCTGTCATATTCTGGGCTGGATGGTCAACAACTAGCTGAGTTTGTTTAAATAGATTGCTTTTTATGGGGGTTTAAAAATAGAACACAATTTCTAATATGGAAGAGGTCAGTGCCAATATATTTGCGTAGTGCTAAGTTTTGGTGTGTTGGGATCATCATCCTGTTGGAACATTCAACTGTGTCCAAGTTTTATCCATTTTTTATGACTGGAAGCCAAACAAACCCTCAGTTTGATGCTGTCACCATGATGCCTGATCTTTCTAAACATTATTCTCATAATTTTTGACAAACAGCTCAATCTTTGTCACAACTGACAATTTAACAGTTCTCCAGAAGGCATTTGGATTGTACTGGTGGGCAACTTGATATTTCCATCAAGCTTGAAGATGACCATTTAATAGCTGGGGTTTGAAGTCTTCATAAAGGAAAATTTCAAACTACTGTAGGTTCAAAATGACCATGTTTCTGCCTTACACTCATCATTTCCGATCCGCCAGTCTCTGCAGGAGCGCAATGACCGTATCCTGCTTGGAGGAGAGCAGCTCCAAAGCCGTGGCTATCCTTCCAAGAGACTCTGACATCCGCACCTCCCTCCTCTCACGCCTTTTCTCTCTGGCCTCCACCCTGCGCCGAGCCACCCGATCCAAGTAGCCCTGCTCTTCCTGCCGCTTCAGAACCTCCTGGAACAACCCGATGCTGCCTTGCTCCTTGTTTCCTTTCTGGTTCTGCCCCTCTGTTCCCGCACTCGCAGGCGCAGATAGTGAAGCGGCACTGGAAGCGGTGTGACAGGAAGACGTTGTGGGGAACGAAGAGAGCCCAAGGATGTTCTGAGTGTGGCTAAGTGGGGTCGTACTGAGGCAGAAAGGTGTGGCGCCCGACGTGAAAGACGGACCTTTTCGGCTTTTGTAGGCCGACGAGCCCATGTCTGTGCTGCCGGTTGAGCCAAGAGCGGAAGATGCAGAGGCTGTTTCAGTAAAACATGGTGAAGAGATAAACGATGGAGACGGTACGATGGTTGCTGGCTGAATGCTAGTAGTGACAATGTCACCATTGAGGACAATAACGGGCTTGACCTCTGGAGCATTGATAAGGGTAACAGTTGTTGCAGTGTGTGAGGGACTGGCAGCGGTGCTACTCATGATTTGGCTGGTGGCAGCTCCCAGGCCGGCCGCATCCAAACCCCCAGTCGCAGCAAAGTCCCCATTGGGACGGATGATGGTGGTGGGCTGCGGAAGCTGTACTGGTTTTGCAGGGATCTTTGTTGAAGGAATGGCCAGCGAAGAAGCTGTACTGCTACCTTTGCTCCTTTTGTTGCTAATGATCTGCGAGCCAATAGTATCGCAGAGCGTTGCGTCCATGAGCTACAGAGAGAAAAGGAAAACCACAAACTATTTTTATTCATGGCATCAAGATGAGCAGCTAGTCATACCATGTAAAATTAATGTAATTAATACTCCTCAGATCACTGTAAGGAAGATACAGATTTGAATTTTGTCTCTGGAAATTTTTAAAGACTTTTACAGACAATACAAGATACATATAGACACTGAGGCTTTATCTACCAGATTGTGTACCGTTGTGTAGAAGACAAGAGCTCATGATATAACAATATGAGCTCATGCAAAGTTAAGAGACTCTTCAACTGTACCAAGAACAAGAATTCCTGCACATTTTCCTGTTCAAATTTCACACTTTTCCACACTCAGAATTGTCAGAGTTGTCCATCCACAAAGGTTGAGTTACTTTATAAAATAAAATGCTTCTCCAGGGATCTGGCTCTAAAGGAGGAAAAAGTAGACTGGCAAAGAGTGACGAACTGACGATTGGTTATTGGACAAGTGGAGGGAAAATGGGAAAACAATCAATGATTTGGTGGATGAATGAATGATGGTTAGAGATAAGATAGATGTATGATAGAAGCAGATGAATGGATGTCTGTATGGAGGTATGAAGGATAGATGGATGAGTGGAACATTTAGACAGAGATCCTGGAATCAGTCCAGTTATAAGTTAAAGTTGAAGTCTTTTATATTTTAACATTCAAATCCATTGGGACTGTTTTCATTGTGGAATCACTCCGATGTGTGAACATCCTGCTAACACAACGTTTAGCCCTGACTTTTGTTTCTACTGCTTCTTTTTGGGGATTCAGAGCCTGTTAGACCAGATAATAGCAGTGCCTTCTTGTGCCTTCATTCTCCAACACTGGCTCTAGTTGCAAAGATAAAGCAAAAGAGGACAACAGGACAGTCGGTGCGCAATCATGCTTTTATCCAAACTCATTACAAAATGTCATTGGTGCTTTAGGAAGGTTTGGATTAGTCTTAAATTGCCCAGCAGAGGGATTTGTCTCCACCCTCCTCCTCCTGACTTACATCAAAGAATTCCCAGGATGTTTTGGCATGTCCCGTCTCCCGGCTGCGGTCCTTGACCCTCTTGTACGTGACAATGAGGTTGTTCCACTTGCGGCGGATTTTTTCCACGGGAAGGACGTGGCCCTTTGAGGCCATCTCTTCCTGGACGCTCTGGAAGAGCTGCGAGCGCTCCCGCGTCTCATAGAGACCCCAGCGGCGGCCGACAGCCTCTATCAGGCACAGGACAGCTTTGGAGGAGAAATCGGAGCCGGAGGAGAGCGTCTTGTCTGAGGGAGCAGGTGGCAGCACTGCAGCTGGGGACGGGACAAAGGCGGCTTTGATCAGGGGCTTTCTCACAATACTTTTCCTCACATAGCTTTAAAAGGAGCACATAAATCATAGCTGGTGCTGCCGTGACACACTTAAGAATAGGTGCCCAAAAATGGTGACAGGTAGAAATTTTTGGTGGAACTGATGTGATTCACCAACACAAAGTGAAAAAGAAGGAAGAGTGGATGATTTTCAAAATCGTTTACAATTGAAAATGTAAATACTGTGGAGAAAATTTGCACATCCAGAGTCAAATTATTCCACATTGTTCTCGGCAAAACACTTTGAGTCAGATGGGATGGAGAGCGTCTCCTGGAAAGTTAGATTTTCAATTGAGTTCAGGTACAGACTTTGACTAGACCATTTCAACACTTTGGCCCAGCTGTATTTTTAATGCTGCTGCCCATTAGGAACTCTAGCCCTCTCCACAGCCTCAAGGCTTTCATAGCCTAACAGGCTTTCTTCCAGGATTGAGCGATTCTAGCTCAACTCACCTTCCCATCAACTCTGACCAGCCTTGCATCCCCACAGCATGATGCTGTCACCACCGTGTTTCACAAAGGGACTGGTGAAGACAGAGCTGTGAAAATCATGTGTGGTTTTTCTTCACTTCACTTTGTTTTGGTTGATCACACCAAATCGCAACAAAACATATTCAAATAATAAAAAAAACAGTATGGAGGCTTTAGTAGATGATACCAATTTAACGGTTTAATAAAAAATAATTGCATTTGTGTAATTCGTGCTTTACCATCTAAATATGCAGCATATCACTAGATTTTACACATGAATGTGGTTTCTTCTCTTACCTGGGGCAATCTTCAGGTATGTTTTTCCGTCAGCTGATGATGTAAAGAACCGGTCTGTGCTCACGGGATCTGAGATCAAACAAATTACATGACAAGACTTGAAACGGTGCATGTATGAATTATGATTATTATGATTATTATGGGGTGTTAACATGGAGATGACACCTCTTATAGCTTTTAAACGACAACTGGAGTTCAGTGTCAACAGACAGATCTATGGCACCATGAATGGACTCATCTGTGCTCACACAGCAGAACGGAGGGAGCCGAGGTGTTGGCCTGCAGCTCCGTGTCAGTCAGTTCCTCCGCAGTCTGTTGCGCCCCTCCTCCACCTCCTCCCGCTCTGCATGCGGCATCTCCGCATGGCGCAGGCGACTCCCGGCTGCCCAAACCCAGCGCAGATGAGCTTTCATCCCCGGCTTCGGTTTTCACATGCATCGCTGCTGCGACGTCGGCGCCGCCTCCATGCAGGTTCGCGTCCATGGCTGCTGAGACATGAAGAAGAAGAAGACGACGAAGAAGAAAGAAGAAGAAGAAGAAGAAGAAGAAAAAAAAAAAACTAACGTATGCGCACGTTTTTGTCTGCGCAGGCGTTCAACGGGAGAGAAAGTTTGGAGATCGCGGTTGTTGATCGGCAATGCACGCTTCGGCCGGAAGTCACGCCGCCGCCGCGTTCGGCTCGAGGAACGTTCCGCTCGGTCGCGTGCGCGCCAGGGCGACGCTCCCCCACGCGCGGGTTTTGTTTCCCAGCGACGAGCAGAGAAATGGCTGCACCGTCCACCTCAGCTCAGCTGGCGGATGCGCAGGGCGGCTGCGCAGCTTGCAGCACAGATTTGCTGCTGGGGAAGCGTGACAGTGACGTCAGCTGCTCGCACGGCACGTGGTTAGCGAACGCGCAGCTTCAAAAATAAGGTCAAATGCATCAATTCAAACCCACAGGAAGCAGATACGTACCCAGGGTAGGTCTGATCTAAAACGTTCAAAAACTGGATTTGTTTCAGTAATCTATTCCAACAAATTATTATTTTAACCTACATATTGATTTAAGACAAGCATTGATATTTGGTTATAAAGTTAATAAAAACACACTTCAAATATAGGCTAACTTTTAATTCTTTTAATTTTTAATTCATAAAAGGCGAGTTCGTAATAATTTAGGAGCCTGTTAACTTGGTCCATACAATCCTCCCTGCACAAGAAGGGTGAACCCCAAAATGTCAAAAGTGAAGCTGATCCATAGATCACAGGAAAATTGAGTGGAAGGGGGGAAAAAAGAGAAAATCATTAAGTACATAGCAAAGTTACTGGTTGATTGCCAAATGGAGATGCTAAACTGACAATAATTAATACAAACTAAGTATTAAGTGTACAAGCTGATATTTCTTGAATTAGATATATATTTTTTATTGTTCTTATGAAATAAAATTTACTATTAGTTGAATTTGGGGTTTTCAAGAGGTCTAACTTAAGTCAGTTGGATTATCATCTTTGATCTCACGTCTTAACATCCAACAATTATGGTTTTTTTTTTCAACTTTTCAAGAAATTTAGGCCGATTGCACAAGTTTAGGAAACATTCTAGGTTAATTTATTACAGAAACGTTCACAAGACATCCACAGTCAGTGCCAGCTTGTAAATCTTTGGGCAGTTTTAAACATTGTACCACATTGTAATAAAAAAAAAACAAGCAACAAAAAACAAATTCATTTAAGAATAAAACATACAAAAACATCAAAACGAAATCAATACAAATTGCATTGGTCCTGCTTTAAAAAAAACCTTAAGGTTGTAATTGTGCTGAATATTTGGTCATTTTTGTTTACAGTTTTCTCACAAAAGCATTGAAAATTATGATTTTATAGTTTGTTTTAGAAGAAAAAAGAGTTTCTGAAGAGAAACATTTGGCAACTGCTTTCTGTTTGTACATGAGAGGCAGTTCAGGCTTAATGCACAATTACATCAGCTTATGTGGGCAACTGATAATAAGACATACCTCTTGCTTTGCGGTAATGCATTCCTCTTTACATAAAAGCTTGAAGGTTGACATCCTGACCATCAAATTCTTATCTGAGTAATACTTTTATCAACCAATGTGCTCAACCAGAGTTTGGATTTTAACAAAGAGGAACAGCATCGTAATAAAACTTCAAAAGTGGCTGCAAATACGAACTTGGCCTCAACAGGCCACCGTTGGGTCAAAAATTAGTACCAGTATTCCTCTATGGATTAAAGCAGTATTAGTGAGACTTTGAACATGTTAAAATGTGCAAATTGCAAATTCGGTTTTAATCTGTGAGAGTTAAATCCAGGTTTACTTTTTGCTCAGGGTGGATTTGCGCCGCGTTGTGCAATCGTAATGTTGTGAACCGTTGTACCAGATAAAGACTTCAGCAGTTCATCTCCCTGCAACGCACTGTTGTCATTTCATTAATATGCACCCTCCATTGCATACCTCTTAATTTTCATAAGTTATGGCCATAAATATGTGTAAATAAAGACTAAAAGCTGTCATAATCTAGCTATGTTTTAACACTTTAAAATCTTGTGTTAAAAAAAAGGGTTATCTTGGACTTCTGGTTATTTCTAGTTGTAAACATCTCAGGTTACGCCGCCATTTTATTCCCCCACAGTGCCAGACATTTGAGTTTCCATTGTGTATCTCTTTTCCTCTGGTCAACAAGAGTTTAGATAGATTATAGTGATAAATATTTGTGAAATATTAGGGAATGGAGAGGCGGGGTATGTGCTGGACGGGCCACCAGTCCATCACAGAAACCCACAGGATGAACAACCACACACACACACACACACACACACACACACACACACACTTAAGGACAATTAAGAGACCAACTGACCCAACAGTCATGTTTTTGGACTATCTGGAGAAGAACATGCATCCAGGCCGGGCTTTGAACCCACCTTTTTGGTTACCTCATTATTTTTTCCTATATTAAGGTGTTACCTGAGAAGCTACTTTTGGCTACATTTCCTTGGAAAGCCTTCCAGAGTGCATTAATTTAGACCCGAATTTCAAACGTCTGCCTATATAAATCTTCCTTATTTTAATTGTAAGTAGTTATTTAAATGTCCTGTGAGATGATATACTTACCCATGTACCCATAACAACTGGAACTTTCAATATCCAACAAGTCATTTTCACAATTTACCGTCTATTAAACGAGTGCCCCCCGGATTAATTTCACTCTCTGCAGCTGCAGCTGTGAAATTACCGTAATAACCCGATATTGGCTGGAAAGTGCAACGTCTCCCCTTTCAGAAACCGTTGGAATTTTTCAGATAGCGCCAAGTGTGGTGGAATTACGGTACTGCAAATGTTTACATGTCGGCGGCGACAGGTTCGGTTCTAGAAGGGTTAAGAGAAAGACTTTTACATGTGTTTTTGTTTATAAAGTCTGTGGGCCAACCGGTTGCAACAATGAGTCTCACAGCCGGCTGACGCAAGCCGAGTTCCCTCAACTGGCACAGCAACATTTCAGAGCAGTCGGTTGAGTCCTGTGTTTTAGTTCAACGCATTTCTGACCAATTCAGTCAATAGTTTCACCTGACGAGGGGCCAAAAACTTCCCCACGAGGGTTGTGACAAGCAGGGGCGGATGACATGAGGCTGACAACAAAAATGACGCCATTTTCATCACATAACTTCGAGAACGAGAACAGATTTCAAAACTTCGGCCCGATCATGCAGGACGAGACTTTTCTGAGTTTACTCTAAGACTCTCATGATGAAGATAACCACAGAACATCAGACTGAGAATCTGCTCTGCTTCAGTTCAGCATGGTTTTCAAAGAGTGTGCCATACATTCAGTAGTATTTTAACATTTTCTTTCATTAGTTAAACAGAATATTAGGAAAAAAAATGATCCTGGTTGGATGAAGCGTCATCAAATTATTATCAGCACAGCATTTAAATGTTGTTTATGTAGAGCCAGTGTCTGTGAGTGGTGGTATGTTAGTCTGTGGTCTAATCCTGGATGTTGAAGGCCTTCTTGAATTCTCTGTCAAATAAATGCTTCAGGTGTTCGCCCATGTTCAGGTATTGTGGGTTGTTCTGTAAAAGAGATTCAAGAGGTTGTTAGTTCACCAATAAGAAGAGGACGGTCTTTGAAGGAGCAATACACAATATGACTGATGAAGAAGAAAAATATACATCTGTATTTACCTCCTTCAGGATTTTTTGAGACTGATTATTATACAAATTATGCACATTAACATGATAGCTTATTAAATACGTTGAGCTTTGCCAACTTAAAACTAAACTTACATTAATAAGTTAGCAGTAATTTTTTTTTTGAAAACTTGTGAAATTAGATAACAGAATCTGAAGAAATCACAACTTTAACTTAGTATAAATGTGAATTTAATCTAAAACTTCAAATGGAATAGAATAGTGTGGTACGATGCAAGATTTCCCCTCTGCAGAAATAATTTTTTAATGTATTCAAAATGTCTTGGAAAAAGTCAGAGAACATTACTTTGATATTGAGCGGTTTTCTGTACGAAAGCGCTAAATGCCTCCAACGTTTTCTTACCCTGTTGTACGTGGCAGAGTTGGTGAAAATGAGCTGAACGTCAGACACAAACTCGCCAACAGTCTGGTATTCGTTCCTCTGAAGTCTGTCTGCGATCTTATCCAGCCACATCGGAGTCTTAATAACACTGCAGTAATTTTCCAGCTGTGGGAGTCAAGGACAAACTGCATCCACGATCATTTTAAGACGACAGAATTCATGTAATGTAGTGATATGATAAACAATACTGTGATTTCAACGGGAGCAGACATAGCTCCTGCACTTTGAATTATTTACGTTCCATTTAGCTGATGTAGAAGGACGTGAGAAGTCACTTACATACTGCCTTGGGTTGGTGGCAAATATCTGCTCCTCATCAGCGTTGCACAGATAGAGGAGGAGATACTGGCATTCCTGTCCAGGGGAGAACAGAGAGATGAGTTGCAGCAGGACGTCTGAGCGACAGGTTTTTATATGAACAGACTTTCGGACTGGAGCAGAGAAAAAGATGCTCACCAGCAGGTGTTGAGATATTTGACGGGACATGACGGCTTCAGTTCTCTGCTCGTCGGGGTAGCGGCACTCCTCAGTGAGCTTAAAGACGCAGAATGTGCAAAGCCACTGGTTGTCGTCCCTGAAAAAAAAAAAAATGTAACAAAACTAACTCTGAGGGGACAGAATCTGTTCTCCACTGGACTACAGGAATATTCATCTTCCTTCAAACTCAAAACGACGACAGCATAAATGTTGATATGTTGGGCAGATTTGAGTGGTAGCACGACAAAACTAAAGATAGTTACCGACTCAAAATTCTGCAATAATTCTAACTTCAGGTAGTTGTATAATTATTTTTACTGTTATAGATTTATAAAGAAGGCGTTTACAGTTACGCACATTGTAGCTATCTTACTAGCTACATATTGTTACTAACATAACAATATGGTTACACATATTTAAAAAAAAATTTTGTGGGCGTAAACATGAGGAAATGAAGTTTATTGTGGAAAAAAAAATCATGTTGTGTTCGAATCATTTGAAGGAGAGTGAATCATCATCAGCGCAGACAGAGTGTCTGCATGACGCAGCATGAGGTTAAGATTTTCTATTACGTCGCTGCTGCAAAATATTAGAAGAATTTACATAACTTTCTACCCATACTGTCGTAGCTGCATTTCCATTGATCATAAAATTAGCAAATTGAAATTACAAAAATAAATTCTCAGTGGAAACACAGCCGTTTTGAAAAAATTTGTCGGAAACGTTTTTTGCATGAGGATGATGTAATTTTTCGATGGCGTCAAAACTGGTATATTTCAGAAAAGTGCAATGAAGACGGTTTTCACAAACTTCTCTGAATGAAATATCATAGCAATAAAGAATTGAATTGAATTTAGTAGTCAGTTTTGAAATGCAAAAAAAAAAAATGTAGCTAATAACTGGGACAAAAACTCAGGTGGTAATGTACTAAACCAAAGACAAGGATCATCCTCTAACTGTAAATCAATGTAAAACACAGTTTCTCGTTCAGAAATGTATTCCTATCCTTTCTACAAGGGAATAAAAACAAAGTCTGGAACCACAAATGCTTTTTTTCTCCGTACTTATCCAGATGTGGAAAATATTACAATCAAACTTAATTCTCAAAACTGCTTAGGGCCTGCAGAAAACCTCACAATAAACCCAACAGACCAGACAAAATAAGTCTCGTTTCCAAAGACTTATTTTTTAAACAAAATTTGACTGTCAGACAAATTTAGTTCTTACTCCACTGTTGTGTCGTCTATATGAGGCAGATGGCAGTTCTGGTGAAATGATCTCGGACATTGATCACACTCCACCAAGTCCTCTTCCCCGTCACTTTTACAGATGCAACACTCGTCGTCATTTTTCTCATCGTCCTGTAAAGTCAGATTAATGTCATAATTTAATTCAATTTCATGATTTTACAGCTTTTTAAATGCAAAACTGAACAAGCAGCACATTTACCAGGTCTTCATCTTTTGGTTTGCACCGTTTGCATTTGCATAGCAATGAATGCAGTATCAAGACGTTTGCCTGGAAGAGAAAAGTAGACAACTTCTCAGTCTTTTGTTTTTACAATTTAGGGCCTCTGATTTAGAAACGGCACATTTTCCTGCGGTTATCACCCAAACTTACATTCAGACTCATCTTAGGACAGTTTCATGAAACATCATCACTCAAACTGCGGCAAACGTAACTTGATTCTGCTTTGTTCCCAGCTTCACAACACACACACCAATTTGAATAAGTATTCAAAGCTTCTAATCAGAATCACCAACATTTTTAGGATTTTAAAAGCAAGAACATGCACATTTATGTAGACAAAGTAAGAGAAAATTTTAAAATATTACAGGACATTGTGATTGTCAATAAATATACAGCTCTGGATATATCCAGAGCTGTATATATACACACAACACACACAAATTGCTGTGAAGCCACAGTTTGAGTGATGCTGTTTCATGAAACTGTTCTAAGATGAGTCTGAATGTAAGTTTGGGTGGCACCCTGAGGAAAATGTGTGGTTTCTAAATCATCATCTTTATTTCAATTTCAGTCAATAATTTTCATCCATATACTTCATCCAACACTTTGGATGAAGAGCCTGAGGTACATAGAGAGGCCACAGCATTGGAGTATCGCGTGTTGCTGCTTTGACTGTCAGAGACAAACTACAAATCGCCATCTATCTGGTTTTCTCTCTGGTTTTGAGATGAGTCAAGACTTCATGACCTCAGAAGTCGATGCGACTCCTCTGTAATCTTTAACTGTTGTCTTTTTAAGGACTGGGACATTGGCTGATGTCTTGAAGCAAACTGGAACATGACCGGTCATCAGTGGGGTGTTAAAACTGTGAAAAGTTTTAAGCCCCCCATTGGAGACAGACGATCAGCTGAAACAGAGTCTGGGTCTGCGGCCCAGTGGAGGTTCAGGCCTTTAAATGGTCTGTTTACATCCTGCTCTCTACTAGAGACATTTAAATGTATAAGAGAGTTGGGTGGTATGATGCTCGGTCCAGGTGTTGGTCAATGGCTGATGAGTGGAGGTGTGAGAAGGGGACAGGTCTGACCCATTGCCTTTCTAAACTGGTAGAACTGGTTCAGATTGTTGGCCTGGTTCATTAATGTGACGACAGGATTTACTCTTTTATTCAGACAAAGGAGGAATCCCTGGCAGAGAGCTGATTTTATTCTCTCACAATGGAGTAAATCAGCTCTTCTCATCTTTTAGCTAAACATGTATTGAGTCTGCGTGCATCTTTCTTTGTCCCCAACTCTATCCAGCCTCTTTCTCTGATAAGCTGTCTGAGTTTGGTTGGGTTTGTCCCTGTTGTGTCCTTATAAAAGTTAATGTAGGACGTCACAGAGTCGGGGCGCTAATCCAAAATGCAGCAGATCCGAAAACACCCCAACTCCCGACGCTCACTGGTCCAGATTCGGACGTCCGCACAACAGGTTTGAAAATGTTTAACCAAATGCACTTCAGATTAGAGTTTAGATTTGCAACCCGAAATCCGATATTTCAGTTATAACAATCTAATCTACGTCATCATGATGGGTTTCTGAGTCATGTCTACCTCTATGAGAGCGCTGAGGGGTTCCCCTTCGTACAAGATGTCCTTCCGCCAGGCGGCGTCTCTCTGGTTTAACGCTGTGTTCACAAACTCCTCCGGACTCATCCAGCTCAACTCGGTGCGAATACTTTTCCCACATTTCCCTAGCGGGTGGGGAATAAAAGATAACAGACATGTTTCATACGTCTGACAGCAGAATTGTTTTAGTTTAACACTTATTGTTTGTTGGCTGAGTCGTGGTCACCTGATGCGAATCGAAATTTGTATAAAGTCCCAGTTAAAGCTCCACACGTCACTTTGAACTTTGTCTTGCAATGATCCAGGTTCACCTGAGTCGACTCGCCTTGTTCTTCCGTTTCTTCTCCTTTGTGCAAATGATATTTATTACATCAGCACCTCCTCTGCTATTATGTTGTCTGTTAGTGTTGTGTAGAAACCGGCACCTGAGGTTTCCTCTGTTAAAGACTGTGCTTCCTCTTCGTCCTCACTGTCTTCTTCATCTGACAGTGAAAAATGAAGGTTTTCAGGTGAAAAAGCAGAAAATGGTAATTATGAATCTCGGTGGGTTCTGAAATAACGTACCTGTGTTTGAATGACTGGCAGCAAACAAGGATTTTCTGGCCTGGCAATTAAAGTCGTGGATGAGAGAGTCAAAAATAATTCGGATTTCTTTCTTTGTTGTTGTTGTTTTGCTCTTACCTGTTTGATTCTTCTTTTGTAGACCGCTGCCTTCAGGTGCCCGTCCTTTCAAAGGAACGACAGCATGTGAGTGAATGGATATAAGGGACCGCAAATAAATGCATAGTTCCAAAGAGGCGTTTTGGCAAACCTTAATAAGTTTTCCCAAAGGGGTGTCCTTGCATCGGATGCTCAATTTCCAGTTCTTGGCGCTCCCTTTCCCTGCGAGCTTCTCAAATTCAGACGGAGTGAACTGCTTTTTGTCCACCAGGATGCACTTTTCACCTGAAAACAGAACGACTCGATTCTTTCACGTAAATGACTCCTGGAGATCTAACAGGTGAACGAACGCAGTCTGACCTCTAGCCAGCTTGTCTCGTATGAGCGTCCCCTCCACCTCGCCACAGGTCACAGGCAGCTGGGTCTTATAGATTGGCCAGGTCCAAATCTCACCCGCCTCCCCTTTCCTTGGAGACGCTGAGGAAAAAAATTTAACAAACTGGGATTTTTCATCTTCAAACTGGAACTTTCACGGACTATAAAAAACATTCAACATGTAAAATCAGAGGAGCTATAGCCATAAAAATATGTAGGTAACGATGAATTACAAAAGCGATAGATCATTTACAGAGGGGTGAAAGCTCGCTGCCGGCAGGTGGACAAACAGCAGCGTTTGAGTTCCACTAAAAAAATCTGAATTACTGCTTACCGTCAGTCGGAATAATCAAATAGTTGGGAAAGACCCCCTGAGTTAACATTAAACATGGCTGCCACAAAAAGAAAGCTGCTTATTTGCACCGCTGACACTTTGTGACTTATTAAAAATTACTTTGCAGTCTGGAAAAGTCTGGAATTTGATTTCAGTATTTTCAAAGTCTTCATAAGTGTGGAAAAAGAAAATATGAGTAATGAAAAAAGTTGCAACTTCCAGAGAGGTGACTTACAGAAATGTATTTTCTTGACCTTTTTCTTCTGACTTGGAGTCTGTTTTGCCGACGAGCCCGACTGCTCATCGTCGCCTTCGCTGCTCCCGCTTCTGTGCTTCCTCTTCTTTTTGGCGCTCTTCGTTTCCTTCTCCTCGCCATCGGAAACCTTCGAGCTTCCCCTTTCGTCGCTCTCTTCGCTTTCCCTCCTTTCAGGTAGTTTTGGGTCAAAGTGGAAAGAGCCTTAAAGCAGAGAATTTACGAATAACTTGTGGAAACCAACAAACAATGAGAGGGAATGACTTTTTTCTTCCAACACAGGAGCTGAATAAATAAAAGCAAGTGATAACGATGTTCAATATAAGACATTTTTACCGTCCATGAGGCTATTGTGCAGCAGCTTCAGGGTGGGGTACTGGTTCATGATGACGTCTTTGAAGACACATCTCCAGAACAGCGGGATGTGCTCCGAGTTCTCTTTCTCAAGGCAGTCTAAGATTTCATAAACAGCTCTCCTAATTTTATCTTTACTTTTCATCCGGATCGTTATCTAGACACAGACCAAGAGACATCGAGAGAAATCAGTACTACATCGTCAGCAAAATGGCAAAAAAAATATGGTTGTCATTTGTCACTTCAGGTTTATAAAAAATATGGATTTGTTTAGCATTTTAAGGACCAAGTTATACTGGTTGTTATTAGAAGTTTCTCTGAAGAAACATCAGAGAAACAAGATGAATTAATTCAATTGAAAGATAGGAAAGTTGGTATGTGTGGTGATCTGTGTTTTCTGTGTATTTATTTTGACGTTTTTCTGTGTTCATTAGTCTGTTCCCCTGTGAGTCTCTGTCTTCCCTGTTTGTTCCCAGCTGTGTCTCGTTTCTTTGTTTCTGGTCGATCCTTGTCGTGTAATGTTCGTTGTGCTCCCAGTTGTTCTGTCCCGTGGATATTTATCATTAAGTAACCATCACTTCAACCTGGGTCTGCCTGTGTCCTCCCTCACCACCTCACATCATGACAGTATGACTTTGTAATTCAAGCGACATTTTAAAAATTACACACATGTATTGTCTATGTGACAGTAAGCAGATTTTAAATATAGTTTTTAGTAATGTTTGTTTATTTTTTACAAATTTGTAAGTATCCTGTCACTTTGTAAGTATCCATTTCGGTTGCCATGGGTTACGCCGGATGTCCTTCCCCAGTTTGTCCCGGGGAGGGAACGGGGTTCGAACCCGTAACCCTCCGAGCCGCGACCTACCTGCTCCGTCACCTGAGCCCGTAAACTACCAATAAACTTCACTTCAGTTGTGCAATAAAAATAAGCCGCAAGTTTACTAAAAGAAGCAACTATTTACATCCAAATTGACAACTAGAGGCTGGAGACCGAAGAGTAAGTGGACTGGTGGCATTCAGATTGTTCACTCGATCAGCTGTGACCCAGCTTATTTGGATAAAACGGCCCACGAAACAGAGTCCGTGTTTATTTCCCGCGCGCACACACACACGATCCGCTTTGGAGCGGTGGGCGTGTCCTGCCCCGCTCACACCACAACACACGACGCTTGAAAACTTTACCTTGTATTTGTCTTCCGGTATCAGGTTGTGGTCCCTGAGCTGGTTCAGGAAGATCAGCGGGTTTTCCATGCAGGACATTTCTGTTTTACGACAGTGGAAAAACGTGAGCAGCTCAGCGGGCTCCAGGAAATCCAGCGGGTCCATCACTGGTCAGCGTACAGGCCCTGCAAACAGAGTTTCTCTGTGGCTAAATGTAACAAAACAAAACAAAACACAAAAAAACTATCCACGCTTCCTGCTGTTCCGCAGCTTAAACAAGCACAGAAACAACTCAGGTACATGAAGAGAAGCACTTCTTCTTAAAAATATGCAAGAAGCGTCCGGAGCGGAAGCACTTCTAAAGTCTTCGTGGTGGAGCTTCCCACAAAAACCTCCGTTGTTCCTCCTCCGGTGACGTTTCGAAAATGAAAGTAGTTTCAGGTTTATCGCGAAATGTTGTCTTGACAACATTTGGTGAGATCAAATCAAAGTAAAAGATTTTGCGCCGTTGATGTAATTTAGTGGTTTTGGAGACGAAAGATTTCACCCGTAACAACAAAATAACCCGAGAGAGCGACATTAATTTGGAAAAAAAAAAATACTGAGAGAATTAATAAATTGTAATTTAATTAATAAAACGAGTGCCTTACTGTCTGGCTGAGAAAATGTGAAATGAGATTTTAAAGAAAACTATTCTGTTTTTCTTTTCTCTTGTAACAAATGAACAAGTAAGAATAAAACACAGGGTTTTAAATTAAGTATAAATGTCTGCTTGATTTCACGAAAAGTGCAGGAATAGAAAAACTTTTTCCTGCTTTCTGTGTGGGGGGAGTTGATGACATCACAAGAGGCACAAATGTCAACCTTTGATTTTCCACAGCGTGCCTTGAGTTTATCGTTTTAAAACAGAAAAATAGTTTTATTCTGCTACAATTGGCTTATTTGTGACCACTTGTTCTGAATTATTTTAGCCATTAACTGTGTGATTTTTCTTTGCTAACCAGTTAGCAAAAATCAGCTAATTTTCAGGAAAAAAAACAAAACAAGAGCGATGCATACAACATAACTATGACGCTTCATGTGATGTCACCAGATCGATGTAAACGTTGGAGTTTGTTTTCTTAAATATTAACAAAATAGCATAACAAACAGAAAAACTGGTTGTGATGTGCTAATTTATAGGTGTAAAAACAATTTCTCAAGTGGGCTAGCTTTATTTACTGAGGTATTAAAGGTCGTATAGACATTCAAATAATGTTTCAAACATCTTGTTGAACCTCTAGCATGACGGAAAAAGAACCAGTAATATTATGATTTACCTAATAAAGTTGCTGGTGAGTGTGCTCAGCTAAAAACACTTTTAAAGATTTTTGAGCATAACAGGATTGTCATTTGAGGACGGCAGTGAACAAATCAGCTTAAATGACGAATAATTGGAATTCTTGTTGATTTGTTAAATGAATGTTTTTAGTTCAGTCGTCGTTTCATTATTATCTCTTAATTATTCATGTAAATATTTAAAGTGGTAGGACTAATTGGGCCCATAAGGACGCTGTCGTCAGAGCATCAAAGGAAAAGGACCTCAGAGAGTTTCTCTGACAGTTTGAAACGCAACCTGCTAAATTACAAAACCGGGGACAAAATATGGGACGCACATGCTAAATATAGAAAATATATAATTTATTGTCACGGATTTTCCCCAAGCTGTTGATCGTCGTGTTCATCCAAATCGTTATAAACGACATCCTCGTTCCTGTCCTGGCAAGACTGAACGGCCGCCAAAACGGTTGCTAGGCGTCGATCCAAAGCAGACAGGTGTGGCTCGGAGAGGAGGGGGGCCACGGCTGTGAGCGGATCCTGGGCCAACGACTCCCGCATGACATCACTCAGACGAAAGTCAGGACGGGACAAGAGCCTCAGGCGGAGGAGGGTGGAGCGACGGATTCTACGGAAAAGGAGCAGAAGGTGGAGAAAAATCGACTCAAAGTTCTGAGATTTTCAGTAAGATGCAGCGTTGTGAAAAGTATTTGCTCCCTTACAGACTTCTGTTGTTTTCCCTGTTTTTTATCACACCGAGATCTTTCAGAACAAACTTTATCATCAAATTTAACTTGATTAAATACAAAGAGATGATTTCAATTAGTTTAATTTCGTTATGCTGTGTTTTACGCACACCTTCCAAAAAGTTCAGCTTCTTTCTCATTGGTTTACTTTTACCCTACTTCCTGCTGTCAGACGGGTTCTAGTGAAGTAACTGTTTTATTCTGGAGAAGAGGCAGTAACGTGTGGCTGAGCTAAGTGTAGCCAATCACAGATAACTCAAAGTTTTTGGTATGATTTTGAATAATATAGCTGTTACAAAAAAAGAAGAAACCTCTGATTAATATTCTCCAAATACATTTCACAGCACTGCAGATTTTGTTCTTCAATTTTCCCTTTTTTAAAATTTTTTTTATTGGATTTACCTGCAACACTGCACCAAAGGAGCTAAAATAGACGGCTCGTCCTGAGAATGTCGCCCAAATCTAGATAATTATTAAAAACTGCTTTTAGAGGCAACACAGATGCATCAATTAATAACAAATAAAATGAACCATTAAAAAACAATGGTGTTCATTTTAAATCATCTTACGCCCGACCGTTGTCCAGGTGAAGGAGGAAAGTCTCGTTGCCAAATTCCTCAAACGTCTCGTAGTGATGTCGGTCCATGTTGCCTAGCAAAGAAAATAACCAGTAATAATGCTTTATTTTTCTCACTGAGTTCTGTTGATAGTTTTTCCATGTTTGGTGTTGAAAACATGAACGGACTCATGAGGAAGTCCAGCACAGCCATGTCGATGAGATCCACCAGTCTGGTGCCGCGGTTGTACGGAGGCGTCTCCTTCACGGTGTCACAGTAAGCAGCGTCCTTTTCCCAGCTGGGGACAAAAAGTAAACGGCAATTTACACATTTGTATAATTTACAAAAGAGCATAAATACTGACTTTGCTGCCATGTTCGTAGTATTATTCTGTACAAATAAAATTACAGATTTTAACATCGTGTGTATTCTCAGAACCAAGGCCACAATACATGGGTTGTGCTTTGCCCCTGCGCCACCACAGCACCTCCAGCTATTGGTTTTAATAGTAGAAAACTGTCATCATAAACCTTTTATAAGAACCACCATCCTGCGGCGTATAGATGTATCTCTGCTCCAACACACCTGAGTCAAATGGACAACTTGCTAAAAGGCATTTTTAAAACTTAATAGCATGATGATGTCATTTTCAGATATTTGGATCAGGATTGGCTGCATGCTAAAGTTGCAGGATAGGACTGGACACAAATGCATAAAAAATACTAGTCCTTGCAGTTTTCTCTCTCACCACTGGAGGTCAGTGCAAACTCATGGTACTTTAGACGATGAGACAGGATGGCAACGGTAATGTTTCTGCCATGCTGCTTTTTCAATGAGTATGTGCATGCAAAAAAAATACAACAACTTTAAAAGAGTTAAGGGGTGTAAGAGAATTTGCAATAAAGCTTCTAAAGTAAAGCAAGAAGTGAGGTGTGTCAGCAGCAGGGTCTGATTGATATTCCTTACAAAAATATTCATCCACCTTGAACTTTTGCACATTTTGTCGTGTTCAAACCACAAGCCTCAATGTGTTTTATTCGGAGTTTAGCTTGCAATAGTGCAAAACGGTGAAATAGAAGCACATGTATGTGATTCATAGCTGGAATTACAGTCCAACTTCGTTCTAAAATGTGTTGACTCAGGAAAGCTAAAAACAAATGGACTCCATTCATTTATGATTTTTGTTGGGAGACGTTTCGAAAGCCACCGACTTCCTAGTTAGGCGCTCCTTTGGGTCAAAATTTGACAAGATATGGAAGAGTTGAAGAGCAGCAAATACTTCTGCAAGCAAATGCTATTCTTCGCTAAATAAGAGGCTACCTACTGTGCCAGCTTTGTGCGGCTGTAGGACCGTCTCCACGGTGACCTCCAGGATCTGCGGGGAGCCAGGCTGAGGTCGGGCAGCATGGTAGCGAGGGACACCTCCAGCGCGTGAGGCCGGCCACATACCGGGTGCTCCACTGAGCAGTAGTACTCGCACTTACCGTAGAAACACACGTTTCCGGCTGAAACGAGAGGAAAGACGCAGCGATGGCAGGAAAAAGCAGACTGGGATTCCATGAAAGAGCAGCACGTATTAGATGTCTGCGCTCCGGCAGATCCGGAGGTGTGCGCGTGTGTTGCCTCACATACCTGGGGAGGTGAAGAAGGTCCTGGAGAGCCTCTCGTCAGTGGTGACCTCTCTGATCTGTGTGGTGACGTTGATAAGTCGACCGACCACCGGGGGGATTCTGTTAAAGCCCAGCACTCTGAGACGTTGAAGGGAAAATGTTACATAGCATGAAACAAATCCCTTACAAACAGAAATAGTGTATGTATTTTCGTAAGCAGAGTTATATATAACAGTAAAACAGCTAAAGTCTGTGGCATTGAGCCATCACTCATCACCTTGGCGGGTTTGTTGACAGGCTGCATAACCTACTTTCTTCCAATCATTTCATCGGCTTCTGCTTAGATCTGATCGCAGGTCTGTTAGCTTTCAGATGTCTGTTCTTATTGTGAAAATAAATCTCGTTCCTGCTCATTCAGCTTATCGTCTTCAAGTAATGTTACTCATTTTCCAAAAGAGGCTAACCAGTCAGCCTGACATAAAGCATCGTTTGTCACACTCACTGTTGAAAACTACTTTCTGACTCGTACGGCCCAACAATCACTGCTTTACTTATGCTATGCTGCATGTTCTTCAGCCTTTTCCATTTTGAAACCGACCACTGTGACATGTCATTTTTATCATTTATTGTGTATTACTAATTAAAAGCTCCTAAATGTGTACACAAATTCAAAGAGTGCTTCAGTTGCATATGCATGAAAGGAAATTTTAGAGCTGACGATGATTGGATTGAGAGTAAATAGCAAACAATTATTTCCTAGCATAGATTTTAATCATATATATAGAACAGCAAAGGCACACTCGTTTTCATTCAGTGGCAATAAATGCAGTGAGGGCTCCAACTAAAACTTTTCGTACACTGATCATTCGTACCTGTCGAGATGGAAGGCAGCGATCTCTGCGTTGTGTCGCTCAAAGTCGGAGAAATAAAACAGGTTTTCATCCGTCTCAGCGTCCCTGGATTGTCTGTGGGCAACGAAAACACACACACACACACAACTGTATGTTGCTTTTTTCTTTAATAAAATATGAACCACCTGTGGCTGTGTGAGCCTCAGAGGTTTCAGTCAGAACATCGTGTCTTACCTCATGGGTTTGAGCAGAGCCTGGCCGTAGTTTGGGAACGATACGAGCAGCTTCAGCTGGGTGCCTCCTTTCTTTTGAACTTAAAAACAAACATCAAACGGTTACAGTGGCGTATAAATTATAAAATACAGAGGGTGTCGTCTTTCATCCCTGCTTTCGTGCCACAGTAAGGTACATGCTACGCACATTAAAGACGAGATTAGTGTTGTTGAGGGAAGAACAGCCTGGGTTGTAGCTGAGAGGCGCAATGTGTCTGTTTCTCCACATGGTGGCATATTACATAACTGAGCTGCTGCTCAGCGTCTATTTTCACACTGCAGACAGATTTGGATAAACTGATGAAACTGATACAATGACTTAATTCACACAGTAGGATTTAATAGTGCATGTTATTAATGTGGAGCCTTTAAAATATGGCTGCACTGAAGCAGTTTTTTCTCTGCAGGGATTTAAAAATCATTTTCATAATTTTTTTTTTTTTTTCACCCAAATCAGCTTCCTTCAAGCTTCGGAAAATGCACTCATCAGTGTAAATACAATTCAGACGTGTCACTTTTTTGTCATCAAGTTACTAACCGGATGCTCAGGTTTCAGAATAAATTGAGTTTTTATGAACTGTAAGTTTGGTTTCGTCAGGTTGCACAAACAAAATCTCATTTAAATGTATTTAAATAGATACTTTGGTGATTGAGAAGTTAAACATGGAAAACCGGATTGTCACGCTGAAGGGAGAAAAAAAAGCCTGTCGCAGAGATTTGAGCTTAATCTGCACTGGAAAATCAATAACAACATTACATCTCAGTACATTATTTATTCTGCAGCGTGCTGACGCCAGTGCAGACTCCAAATGAGAAACTATGGATGTCTTCATCGAATAAGTTTGTCAAATAAGAAGTGAACTCAGTTCAATGACTGAAGTGAAAAACTGATACTCAGACATTATATGGTTTCGTTAAACACAGAGTGATGTCGTTCAAGCAGTCGTTTCTGCTGATTTTATGATTAAAATTTAAAATTCAGATTCTTAAGATTTTGATATGGCATAAGACTGAAACAGAATAAAAAAAATACAGAAATGAACAACACTGCTGACTTGACAGTTATTCAGTGGCACCAGCCACAGGAAGGCAAAGCCACAAAACGTTATTGCTAAGGAAACCGGTTGCTGTAACCAAGCATATCGATGGAAAGTTAAGTGGAAGAAAAAGCCCGTTCAAGTGTTCTGGAATCAGAGCTTCAGTCAGACACTAACAAGGAAATGTGTTACAATTGTCCCATTACTTGATTTAAGCCATTCCTGAATGAGCAACATCAGAAGCTTCTTATCACAGCTAAAAGAAAGTACCTCACCAGCTGCGTCTCCACATACCATACAATTGTGCGAATTGGAACTGTAAAAATAAATTTGTTGGATTTTAAAAATTCATGTTTTTTGCTGAAATGTTTTTGTGCTAGGACAAGGTGGTTTTTCGAACGTATCGATATTTTGTCAAGTATTTCTAGTTTCACAAAATTAGAAATACTTGTTTTTTTCGCGTCACACAAGTCGTCATCAATAACCCCATATGTTTACTACTGGCGGAAAAGACGAAGAAGACGACAGGAAGGGGGAAGAGGAGGATGACGCATCCGCACTTTTTTTTTTTTACAATAGATGCCGTGAACAATTCACATGGGATTTCAAATGCGTCTCTTATTTAATGGAAACATTGCAGATGCGAAATTGTGTGTTTTTTTAATATATTATCAGAATGTTGACAAAGTTTTGTACACATTTGTAATGGAAACGCAGCTACTGTTCCTCAGTGGTACAAAGTTTTCTATATTTAAAATCATTTTTGGGGCGTTTTTGTGATCTTTTCTAGCAGAAACACGCAAACTAAATATATCATTTGTGTATTGAACTTTCATTAGCTTACTCCGATGAGAGCTACATGTTCTGTCTGCACCAATCAGAGCTAAACGTTGACTTCTAAGCTTGTATCCTGTATGCAGAAAGCATTTGTGAAAGATTCTGTTACTGTGTGTGCTTTCAGTGGTGTTGAATAAGTAAAATATAAGTTTTGTAACCGCACGACAACAAACAAATAAAGAAGTTATGATGATGAAGCGATGTTTTTCTCTGCACCGTTTGCTTGTTTGGATTTAATAATACATTACGGTCTCTGTCGGAGGCTGCAGTCGGCTCTTCACTGACCTCCAGGAACTCAATTACCGCCCGACTCGCCTCCTCGCTGTTTGCTTTTTAACCCTCTTCTTATCTGAGACCCTCCTGGGCTTGTTCTGGTACGTCCCACTGCGCAGGCAAGCGTTGCCATTTGATTTTCCTCTATCTTCTGCGTTTTTATGTGTGAATGTGTGGATATGTTCCTTAAAAGAATTTATAAAGTGTTGACTTATTCAGGGAATACTCGTTTCTGCCTCCAGGATAGCCCGCTTGTGTTATCAGACTAAAACCTGAAGCGACAACAACATTTTATCCTCGTGTGCCACTTCCGCTCTCTCACCTGTCGCCATATTTACTCACCGGCCCCCAGGATGCGCTGCGTCGCCAAGTAATGAGTCAGCTGGGCCAGGTTGAGGTCTTTCCTGTCGTACAGCTCCCAGCGAGAGATGCCCAGGTGGAACCTCAGCCAGGGAGGGTGGGTCTCCTCATCTCTGGTCCAGGTGACTTTATCATAGCCTTCCTCTTCACTGGCACTTTGCCTGCAGAGCGAGACTTGTTCCAGTGTACGTACAGTGGCATAAAGCAGAGCTGGCCAATAAAAAAACAGCGGAAGGAATTTCATAAAAGGTATGGCTACATTAACACCTAACGTGAATGTTTGTCAAATGGCTTGTCTTTTTAAATGTCTCTAATAGTTTTAATTGTTGGTAAAAACACGTTTAGGGAACACAATAGCTGTAGTTCTTTATCTGTCACCAGCCTGGGTAATACTAATGAGTCACGCTGCATTTTCTCTCATTGCACCTACAAACGTTAGTGTGGGCTTGTGCCATATCAACACAGTGAATGATATAACTGTAAAGTTCAAGGACAATGAAGTTTGGTTTTCAACATTTTTGAGGTTGAGGTTGTTTTGCAAATAAAAAAAAAACACTTTGCTAGCTAGTTTACTTCCTAGTGTATCTGGGTTTCATTTAGACAGTGAAAATGAAGACTTCTTGAAGAAGCTTGACCTTCTAGGCTGCTGATTTCAGGTTTGTGTTTTTCTGATTAATCTCCCCTACCAGTCGCTGTCGCTAGTGACGGAGTCTCGATTCGATTTTTCTTCCTGTTCAGTTTCCTCTGCCTCTGCATCTGTTTTCAGCCTCAGCAGCCAATCGTCTTCCTGCAGTTTCGGGCGTGGCAGGTTGTATAAAGGATGTCTGAACAGCTCCTCCAGCTTGGAGCGACTGCTCTCCTTTTTGCTCACTTTTCCAACTCCGATTAGTTTCTTCGCCTTCTCCAGATCCTCGCTGAACGAGTCGTTCCCTGCGTGGTCAATCGTGCCACCGACGCTGGGCTTGTGACCATCGCCGTGTTGGCGGCTGTTGGCTTGTTTATTTGAGGCAGCAGAAGAAGAGGAGGAGGAGGCGTGCGAGACTGGATCTATCCTTGGAACGGAGGATGAGGAGGAAGTGGGAAGGACACAGGCGGACTGGAGGACGGAGAGGCAAAACAAGGCCAGAAGAAGGTGGAGAGTTAAGGACACACACGCCAGGCCCAGGTAGATGGAGCGAGTCGAATGTCTCAGGTTTAGATGCACCATGCTGAGAGCAAGGAAGAGGAAAAAAAGACCAGGAAGTCCGCATGAGAAGCCAGTAAAAGTGTTAAGTATCTAATTTAAGATTAAACCAATTTGATTTATACCAAAGTTTAACTGTTGGAAGTACAATTTTGTAAAAAAAAAAAACAAAAAAAAACAACAGATTTGTTCTGTTTCTACTTATTTGTTGCATTTAAATAGTTCAGGTAATCGAAAAAAATGTGTATGGGTAAATACAAAGATGTAGTTCCTGAATGACGGCTTCATTTAGTAAGAAATAAAAAGCTATCAGAGCCGCCCCAATTCTACGTAAAAAATTATAACTTCCTCATTTTTCTGAAATAAAATCTTTCAAGCCACGCCCAGGAATTGGCTGCTGCCAACAAAATCAGCTGACTTCAACCCACTGGACCAGATAAAACAGGCTAAAAGATTTCAAAAAGCGACGCATCATTCAACGATCTGAAGGAACTGAAGAGCAGATGAGATGTTTGTGATTTCAGGCAAACACAGAGACGATTAGATTTGCTTAGAGGCCCTCAATGGCTAAGCTAACTGCTGCTAGCAAAACAAGCATCTCTGAATTTTGTACTTTGAAACACTTTAGCGATATGTATGAAGGCGGCCATGTTGGATTTTGAGGTTGGGGTTGGTGAGAAACTTCAGATTCCAGAACTTGGAAGTTTGACATTGAGGGACCCTTTCTGCTAATCCCTCTTAAGACGTTGACATTTATCTTTCTGAGTAGAAACTTGTGTAATTATTTAACTATGTTCTATAATTATTTAAATCACACAACATAGAAAAACTTAAAATGTTAGGCTTTTGATTAAAAGGATTTATTTTGTGCTATTTGGTAAATTTAAGGTAGCGCTTATTAAAAAAAAAAGTTTGCTAGCTTCCAAACAGCAGCTCAAAGTTTTAGTGTCAGGTCTGCAGTGATTACTCAACACAATAAAGTGGATTATTGTAACATTTTTGTCCTTCCGGTCGATTCCTTTCGTCTCCCTTGTCCTCCTGCAATATGTTCTCCGAGGACGGATCTAAAACCCAGCAGACAAGGCGCGGCGACCTTTTTTTTTTCCTGAATCCACACTTTCATCCATATTCATATAAGTCATAAAGAAAAGGTCATTTACATCCAATCAAAGAGAGAAAAGTTCACAAAGAAAATCAATGCATTATTGAACAAGCCTTCAGAATCTCCTGTGAGAAGCCGCAGAGACGAATAATTAAAAAAAAAAGGAGGAATAACTTACATTTCTTTCCCTTCAAGTCCACCTCTCTCCTCTTCATTCCCCCGGTGTGACAGAGCTACACTTTGATCCGCGCCACACCAGGAAGGCCGATTGTTTGTTTGTCATCGTGTGGTCACTGCAGAGCAAACAGCAGAGAGGAGAACGGCGGGTCGCGGTGACTTGTGTCGGCGTGACCCTCGGTTAGGTGGAAAGAAAGCACACACAAAAAAAACCCCGGCGCCAAACGCTGATGATACACCGCTCCGATCAATGCAGGTCAGCTAATATGAACAGGAAGAGGTTGAGGCTGTATCATGATATCAATCTGTAATAGCCAACGCTCTCATTTTCTCAAATCATCACGTTTTGAGACAAAATACATGAGTCTTATATTAAATAATGTGCTATCAAGCCTCTTTGGTGGGTATTAAATTGGTTTAAATGGCATATTTTGAGCTAGAAAACATAAAAATTCAAATTAAAAAGCATCAGAAAATTAAATCCTGCTTTATTTTTTTCCCTCTTCATCTCTTTCTAAAGGTCATGGTAATCTTTTTTCCGCTCAGTGTTGTGATAGGAAACATGTTGAACCATGATGAATGTGGTAAACTCCTCCACTTTTTAAGGAGGAAAACACAACACTGAAGTTAGCATCTGATTTGATGACTGCATCTCAACGAAATAATGAGATTTATCCCATTATCGAGTCAGAAGATAAAATCATACACCATCTTCAATTTGTAAGGACAACTGATCATGACTGTTAACTGCTTGAACGCTACATAAAATAAATTAAAATTAAAAGGGGCAGTGTTGTGGAAAATACATTTTTCTTTAGTTTTACATAATTTTATAATGATGTTTTATCATCAGAAACATACCTGGAGTGTTGCCTTGATTCTACTCAGCTCCTCCAGACTAGCCAGCAGCAATTAGCAAACACCTGAAACTATTGCATCAGCTGCTAAAAACGTTTTTAAAGGGTTAATAGAGGAGCCATGTTCTGATGACTTCCTGAAGGCGGAGTTTCAGAAAGAGCAGCAGCTTCTTAAAGAGGCAGAGTCCCAATTTCAAGGCATTAAATTATAAAGTAAAATTCCTTTTAAGTCATATTTGACATGTCCAGCATTTTTATAACAACTGAAGGTGACGTAGTTACATGATTGTGTTATAAAATAGCAGGAAAACACGCAATGCTGCTTCTTGAAGTAGCTGATAGAAAACCAGAAGTAATCCCAGATGTTGGTCTCACTTTTCTTACAGAGTCACAGGAGACGGGTTTCTGTCTCCTGTGACTGTGGACGGACTCATCTGGGACAGGTTGGCCGTCCATCACAGGACAAATGATCACACATGAATACACTCACATTTAGAAAGACAAATTAACTTAACATGCATATTTTTGAGCTTTGGGAGGAAGCCAGAACACACAGAGGGAACCCACGCCGTCCTGGAGAACACGCCAACTCCCTGCAGAAGAACACCAGGCTGGGTTTCAAAACCCAAAACCTTGAAAGCTCTTTGAGATGTGACACCATTCTGTTACTTTTCTGTTGCTTCAAATTCCTCTTTTCATCTTTTTTTTTTTATGCAAATAACTTCATTATGCAAAAAGCCTCACTTGAAACCTGGATGAAAATGGAAAAGAAGTGGCTTGAATTCACCTGTGAGGGGTTTCCAGGTGCTCACAAACAGAAATATGCACACAAGCTACTGAATTAATATTCCAAAGAAGCTCAGATTACATCAAATATTCATACCCCGAACACAGTCTCCCTCCATCACTTTTTTGAAACGACAGCTCCTTTATAACGAACCATCAGTTTAAATCTCCAGCTGCTACTTTAAGGCATTTTTTTCCACGACCTTCACTGTTTTATTTCTTTTTTTTTTTCTGGCAATGAAAATAATATGTAATAGTCTGTTGCTAATTAAATTGTTTGGATTTTGCACATCATGTTTTTGGGGTTGTTTTAATGTGTTACAGCAGATCCCAGTGGTTTTCATTGCTGTTTCTCAAGCTTGTATGAACAAGCAGAGGGTAACACATGCAGATATCTTTTAAATATCGTTAATAACGTAAACGGAAGAATTAATTTGAGAAAATGCTCTAAATAAACATAGCCTTGTAAATCTATTACAAGTAATGCAGTATTAATGATCGTGTTTTTGCTCTGCTAAATAAAAAAAATATTGAGTCACTGGGGCAGAGTGGTTTCATAGATTTTTTTTTCTTTTTTTGTGATACAGATTTTAAAAATATGTGAAAATTTGTGCACATCAAGCAATCTTTGAGCTAAAATATTTTACCTCCCAAACAAACTTTTACTTTTATCGCATAACACCAAACCTAATGTTGCTTTCGTCCAGTCAGCATGTCGATGTCCTGCAGTACGTTTTTACACAGAGGCATCCATCGTCACAATGACCATATGCATGCTGGGTTCCTTTAAAGGGGCAGTATTGTCCATCTTCCAGTCACATAGTGCTATCTAATAGCACAATCCAGTAACTGTGTTTCCTTCAGGTATTATAAAATTGATGTACTTACCAAATTTGAGTAAAAATAAATTTGACATCACAACATGGCTCCTCTATTAACCCTTTAGCGATGTTTTTACCAGCGTCGCACTGAGAAGTAGCTGCTATAACGAGCTCAGGACATGCTCAGCTCCACCAGGTGTTTGCTAATTGCTGCTGGCTAGTCTGAAGGAGCCGAGTGAGGGAGTCGCGGAGGAGGGTTGCTCTGTGGAAACTTGGAAAAGGCATCTCCAAGGCTCCACACTGGCATTTTGCTCAGCTGAATGGTTGCCATGGGTGATTAAATGATTTCTCAAAAACGCATGAACGAACCAAAGCAACACTCCAGGTATGTTTCTGAAGAGGGAATAAAATTAGCATGATGAAAACCTAAAAAAGAAGTCAGTTTGCATAATGCTGCCCCTTTAAACAAACCACACGTTGCAATAAGGTTGCACCAAAACGACCACAGAGAAGGGAAAGGGTTAATTCAGATGTAATTAGGCTTACACACGTTACACAAAGGAGTCCCACTCACTTTGAAATAATTAGGTAAGAAATGTATACACAAATTGACTGCTTATTTTCACCAAAGGTTTCGGAGCGTGTAGCCATGGCTCACATTGAAATATTCAGTTGGCTAAGCTGCTACTTATTTGAATAACTTTCAAAAAAAGCAGTAAGAGTTAATTCATTTTGCCAATAAAAAAAAAAATCAAATTTACCCTTTAATCGATTTTTCTGTTGCCTAATTGACCAGATTTCTCATAAAATCCATCAATTTCTGGTCAGCAACCACTAACCGGCAGCATTTTCTTGTGATCATCCAAAACGAGGACTCCACATCAGACGGGTTCATTTTGTGAAAACTCAGATCTGATTGCAGGTTGTCAGTGAATCATATCGCAAAGTGGCGCCTCTTTTCTCTCATCACAACCTCTCTCATTCTCACGGCCTTCTTCCTATTCTCCCCACGCAGGAAGCGTTCGCTGAGTGCTCCCATTCAAACGGCGAAAACATCCTTCAAAAGCTTTGAAGCCCGGTCTCCCTCTCAGCAGTTGTGGCTGAATGTGGGTTGCTTGGAAACAACCCAGAATTTGACACTTAATTGGGCCGCGCGTTCTCTCCTGTCCGACAGGCGGGATGACTCCCGGCGACTTTGTTGTGCAAAACCCGGGATAAGTAGACAAAGTGCATGTACGATCACATCTGGCTCTCCGGAGGGAGACGCTGGGCGCCGACCGACGAAAGTCAAAGGGAGCTTTGTGGGCTTGTACTTGTGGTTAGTTATACTGGCTCATGCAGTTGTTTGTGTGGTGAGTGAGCGACCGTTTGATTTTGTTAGGAAAATGTGTGTTAAGACTAGATTGGGATGTGTTTCATTAAAGAGGCAGAATTATGTTTTCCAGCTGCATTTTCGCCATTTTATAGCGCAATCATGTAACTACATTACCTTCAGTTGTAGTAAAATGCTGCATGTATCAAATATGACTTAAAATAAATTTGACTTCGTAATTGGGGCTTTGTCTCTTTAAGAAACTCAAGAAGTCATCGCAACATTGCTTCTCTATTAACCCTTTAGCAACTTTTTTTTTTTTATCAGCGGACTAACAAATAACTCATATAATGAGATGCGCAGTTCCACCATGTGTTTGCCAATTGCTGCTGGCTAGTCTGAAGGAGCTCACAGGAGAGGGCTGCTCTTTAAGAGTGACTCTCAGAAACTGCAGCTCTGAGGTGGGGAGGAGCTTCATCCTCGAAGGCGGGGCTCGGCCCTACCAAGCATTTCACACACCTCAGCGGTTGAACGGGAGATTCGAGGAGCAAAGCGACACTCTTGGTATGTTTCTGATGAGTATTTTCCTTCATCAAAGGCACATTTTCATTTCCTCTCTCATCTACTTCTCATCTATTTCCTTTCCTTCCACTGTGAGCCGAGGAGCCCCGACGCCTTTGACTGCGCCGGCTCCTGCAGCTCAGGCAGCTGCCGCTGTTCTCCCCGTATGGATCGCCTTTAATAATTCATGTTGGGAGAGAGGCAGAGGGGAGGAGGCTGGACCTGAGGTTTGGTAGATGGATATGGGGCCGGGAGCTAGAAGGGATCGAGAGAAACGTGTGACTGCTGCAGAAAGTACAAACACAAACAAAGAAGACCAAACACAAACTGGGAGAAGATGGAAGCAAGATGGAGGGAGAGGGGGAATGTCGAAGGGAGAGCAGCAGCTCCCCCAAAAGCAAGCCATTTGGAGACACATTTACTCAAAAACAACACATACAGCTGGTGTAAAAAGCCAGGTGATTGTGTTTATACGACCCAGATGCAATGTTTCTGTCCCATCTGTCTCCACAACCTAATGCTCTAATTCTCATCCGCACCCACCTCAAAGTGACAGCTTGTGAGATAATCTGCTCTCACGTCTTTCTGCATGAGGGTGATCTGTCATTTGCTGTGGCTTAAGTCTGAGGATCGCGGCGGCGCTGTGTAAGGAAGCGATTGTTGTCGCTATAAAGAGGAAAACAAAAGGCGCCCAAGCCCGACGCCAATCATTCTAGGCATGCTTTTCTGTAAACAGTGTAATAAGTTTCAAAAGAAGTACGACACAATTCTGACAAATGTGTGTGTGTGTGTTTGTGTGTGTGTGTGTGTGTGTGTGTGTGTTTCAAACCCAGAGCTACATAAAAGTGCTTGTTTCATTATTTGAAAGTGTTCAAAAGTGTTGTGATGATGCATAAAGGGTGCTGGACAGGATGCGCAGTCGGCTGCGGACAGATTGGCCCGCTGGTGGACTAAAAATGCGTGTGATGTGGTTTACAATTGTCAAAAATATATCAATACCCAGCTGAAAAATCATGACTGAGACTCAGGTTTAAAACTTTGGTATCGTGGCAGGTATGTACCTAAATGCTATGTTTATAGTTTTACATTGGCTTTTTTGGACTAGAGAAGAAAACAAAGGGAACCTTATTATTCTTTACAGAGCAACACTTTGAACTAGAAAAGACTTGATCTGATTACCAAGAATCTTCTCTAAAGGATGAAACAAGTAACAATCTTAAATGGGGTTGTATTAAGGGAAAATTTCCTTTTTAAATGTTTTTGTACTTCTTTAAGGTCTTTACTGCTTCTAGAAACATCCAAAGTGCTTTAAAAAAAAAAAGCAGCTGTTCATGTCAATGAGTTTATGTTTCATTGGCGTCTGGAAAACAAGCCATTTGAAAACCTTTCCAACTGAACCTCACCCAGCAACTCAAGCAAAGCTGGTCAGCTGGTTTTACCGATGCATT